GAGACTAACATTAGATCTAGTTTAACATCCCCCCCTAGCGCCACATGTCACTTAGTCATTCAAACCGATCTAGAGCACCTAAGCTTATGTCATATTTGACAACGTCCTAAACCCTTCCACTACTCAATCATGCCCTATTTTAAGCTATTCTAGCTCAAAATTCTCTTTCTCTAGCTAATCTAACAATAATAATCTCATCCTTAACTCTTAACTTTACTGAAGACACCTTTACTATAGATCGAATAATTCTTACTACTATTGATGCAATTTAGTACTTAATTCTTCATTTTATTAAATTTAATCAGTCATTTTGAAATTGATATCTAACTCCTATTATATCAGTTCTTCAATTTGTTTTTGTTAACTTTAAATCGCGTTTGCCTTTTCCTAGATCTCTTATCGTAATTGTAATACCATATTTTCAAAATCTAAAATTCTATATTAACTTTATTCTATTATTTCTTTTTATTTATTGTTACAATTATCTGAGTCTATTTACTTTTTTATTTAGGATTCTGTAGTCTTTTGAAGATCTTCTATTTTAGTTTAATATTCTTAATTATATAAAATTAATTAATTAATTTCTTATTCTTAGTTTTAAATTTAACCTCTTAAATTTTCTATTGTATTTAGTAATTCTTCTTAATTATTTGATTCAGCATCCTCAATTAAATTTCCACTTTGTAATTCTAATACATTTTCTTTATTTTATTCTACTTTAATCTGATTGGCTGATGAATTGATTTAATCCTAAATATCTAATAATTTATCATTTTCTTCATTGTGAATATGCTTTTCACAAGTTTAAGATTCTTGCTCTCTTTTTTCAACTAAATTTTATTCATTATTCAAATTTTAATCAGCCTTGAGATTAATGATTTCATCAAATTAGAATTTGATGATGTCAATTAAATTATGTATCCCACTATATAGAAGTGCTTGTTATTGATTTAAATCAGCTTCTATTAAAATTAAATCATCAGCTTCTTAATCTATATCATGATTATTTCCTTCCTCTGCTTATTGACTTTAATCATCTTATTTCCTAAATTAAAAACTACTGAATTTATTTACGCAATTTTAAATTAATTTATTAACTTAATAGAGAACCTACTAATATTCTTCCTTTTAACTTTACTTTTCTTAAAATATATTCTAATTTTATTGTAATAATTCTTCATTTTACATTTTAAAATCATTCAAACTATCTTATAATAATGAACAAGATTGATTTTGATTTTTTAATTATTACTCTAAAGTCTTAATTCTTTCTTTTTTTTTGAGTATTTCGTCTTGTAAATTGTTACTCTCTTTAATTAAAATTTAATTTTGGTTTTATAAATCCTCTATTTTGTTGTTGCACTCCTAACTTATATTTATTACTTCGTTTAGGTTTAATTTATCTATTTTTAAATCGTCTTTTAGAGTTAAATTTTCATTTTTCAATGTATCAATATTATACTAAAGCCCATTGATTTGATCATTAGCTTAAATTATCTCTTGCTATAATTATTAATTTTCTTTCTTTTATTAATCATATTCTGACTTTGCTAAATTAAGTTGTTCATTCTTTTCAATTAAAGCATCCTCTGTTATCTTAAGTTACATTTAAAATTCATCAAGTTATTAATTTGATACATCTAATTTCTATTTAAATATTTATTATGATTGATTTCCTTATTAAAGACTATCCAATGCATCTTACAATTATTCATTCAATAAGGAATGCTAAATTTATAATTATCTAAATTATTCATTAATTTAATTGTAGTCATCTTCTTTAACCTTCAAATCACCAATCAAATTATCTATTTTAGTATTGAGTAATTCGTTTTAACTTTCAAAATCATTTATTTAATCATTCAAATCGTTATTTGTTTATAAATTATTATCAATATCTTCATTTAAAGATTAAATCAAATTATTCTTTTATTTGATTTAAACATTTAAATTGTCAATTAAGTCTTTTTAATTATTTATTTATTCTATTAATCTCTCTATTTCAGCTTAGAAATTTGACGACTAATTTTCTAATTAATTAATTTGATTATTATACAACTATTTTTCTTTATCAATTTATATATATAAATCATCTTGAATTTATTCAAATTCTTACTTCTATTCATTTACATATTCTTTTAATTAATTTATTTTAGAATCTTTGAAAGCCACTTATTTTTCAAGCAAATCTTTTCCTTCTTCCAATTAATCTATCTTTATAGTGAGACCTTTTTTTTCTTCTTCCAAAATTAAATATTAATCCTAATTGTATTATAAATCCCTTTTTAATTCAGAATTTAATTAATTAGCCTCCTCTAATTCTAGTTGAATCAAAGAATTTTATTAATTCAATTAATCTATGATGTTTTTCTTCTCTTTCAATTAATTTTCTAAATTCAATAGATTTTATTATTGTTCTAATTGATAAGCATTTTAAGGTGAGGTTGATTCTTATCTAGATAATTATTACTATTAAATATAACTTTCCAACTCCATAATCTTATTTTAATTTTATTCAGATTGTTATTATAGCTAATCTATTTAAGAGGTTAGATTTTTATTTTATTTTTATATAATTCCCTGTTCTTCATTTGCATCTTCCTAAATCTTTTTATTTAAGTTTTTTAATGATTGATTTTCTTACTTCAGCTATTCTTATTGTTTGAAAACATCTAAATATGATTAATGATCTTAAAATTATGAATCAATCTAATTTAATAAAGTCTATTTAATTTATAAGAAATTATCGAATTAATCTTGCTTTTCTTAGGCTGACTAATCTAGTTAATTTGTTAGATCTTTAATTTTTTATTAATATTAATTTGATTAAGTGGATCGCTCTTAAATTGAATCTTTTAAGGAATCAATTTACTTCTATAACTCATAAAGTTTTTCATCTTTTGCTGATGAGTCTTCTCTTTCTCTAAAAAGTACAATTTATGCTTTCTAGTAATCTTCTTTAAATTTTTATTTTTCAATTTCTAAATTTTTAATTTTATTTGAAAGATTTAATTCATTCAATTAAATATTATGTTTTTGAGTAGTGATAAAATGTTTTAATTCTTGTATTTCTTACAATAATTAATCATTTTAACTCCTCAAATTAATATTGATATCGTTAAATTCTTCAATTTATTGTTATAAATATTAAAATTCTTGATCCTATTCCTTTTGCTATTCTTTAAAATTTAAGAGTTTCTTTTATAACTCCTTTAATTGAATATTAAGATTTTTGTTTTCTATTTTTAACTCATTACATTAATTATTAGATTTTTTTAATATTTGCTACAATTCCAAATACTTAGAATCATACTCCTTACTTTATTCAGTATCAGTTACATTCTAGTATTTCTAATCGTCTTATTATACTACTTATTTGTTATTTGCACTTGAATAATAATCGGTTGATGTTTGTTGAGCTATTCTGACTAAATCTGGTAATTAATTTCTACTTATATTAGAAATTGGTTCAAATTATTATTTTAATTTAGCATATTCAATTGAATATTAATCATCCTTGTTATTTTGATCATCCTTTCTCTTACGTTTATCTGAATGCAATCCAAATATCTCAAATTGGTCTTCATGCTGTTTTACAGATTGCTTCTGATTACTTGATTCAAACTATTTAGGGGATTAAAATAATTGATTTGGAGATTGCAACTAAGGAGAATAAGGGATATCACTCAATTTGAATCCACTGCTAAATGATTTCACTCCATTGTCTAGTATATTTTTAATTCTTTAATAAAAGAGTATGATACATCTACTACAAGTCTTGATGTTGCATTTGGGAGTGTGTAGATTCACTTCTTTTTTAATTTGACACTGCATTATATAGTCTATTATAGGAAAAATCCCTTATTCTTGCCTAAAGATTTTCAAAGGTAGGTGCATATGAACGAGTATCGTTTCTATCTTGTAGTACTATTAAATATTACTTTTTTTATCGATAGGACTAATTACGGGTTGTTTCACGATTTTGGTTCATTTATAACTAAAATATTAAATTATTATATATAAATATTATTAAATTTCACTATTTAATTTAGGCCAAAATGGATTGCCACTCTAATAAAACTGGATGTTTGTCGTTTTTATATACCTTAATTCCTGACTTGATAGCTTTTTCATATCTATTTAAATAATAAGTGTTACAATTCTTTAGCTTGTTTAACTTCTTGCAATTCCAACATTATTTTGGCTAATTCAATGTATAATTTGCATTTCTCTAGAGTGTCTCCTATTATAATGGTTAAAGCTTTCTAAATGTGCTCCTAAGCCTTCTAAGTTTGTAGCTTCTTAATATATCCCTTGATTATTTAGATGTGAATCTAAATCTTCAGATACTCATGTTGTACTTTGGAACTACTATAATACTCTAAAGCCTTCAGAGCATAGTTGAGTTAAATATCTTCTTCAATAGTAATCTCACTCCAAATTAAATACAAGATTGATCTTAGAGGATGAGTAAAATTTTAAGGGGGATCTTCTAGTAAAATCTCTTTTAATTAAGAACTCGTAAAATTCAATTATTAAAACTATGTATAAATTAATTATTACCTCTTAAAAGAGTCTCAAAAACAATAAATTTGTATCAATAATTATTTACTTTAAATCAGGTATTTCTGCTTGATTGCACTAATCCAATAATTCTTGAAATTCAAGCATAGTCTCAAAAGCTTCTTCAATATTGCCCAAATAAATCAAAAAAAACAAATGATCTGAAACCAATTACACTTTATCTTCTAATTAAGCATCCTATAACAATTTTTACAATTAAACAATTATTTATAATCCTTACTCATAGCATCTGAAATGTTTACACAAATCAACTAAAGATTTGAGTTGCTTTTCCTAAAATTATGTTTATTTGAATGGTTTGTCAGGAATTATCAAAGAAGACTGGTTACCTAATAGTTTTTTAATATTTTGTGCTTCTTAAATCAGTTAATCAATATCAAGAATAGGGGATAGGAGATCCTATCTAAACATTCGCTTTAGTAATTGAGCCAAAGATGCAAACTTCTTCAACTCAATCATTTAGTTTAAATTTGGTAACATGATATCTATGTTGTTAGTTTGACTTGGTTAAGGATAGTATAGAATAACATAGATTATTCTAGCCAAAATCCAGATTTGAGCTTATTCAACTTGCTCCTCTGTAAAGGTGTTAATGTGTTGTGTGATCAAATCATTTGTGTTTTCAATATTCTCTTGTCTTTCCAAAGCCTACTCCTATTAATCAATTTTTTATATTATAATTGGGTCCATATAATCAGGTTTTATGGTTGTAGGATACTATGCAAATACAGTTGGAATATAAGTGATAATATCAAAATATAATTTATATTGGTTCTAATTAATAAATTAGAACCAAACGCTTTTTGCAGTGAGTCCATTTAGATATAAGCCTAAAGATTTATAGAGTTTAATTTATTGAGCCATGTCAAGTAATATTTGAACCAAATGATATTCAGAAAAGGCAACTAATTCATTTTAGGCTAATTAATATAAATTAATAGTGCCTAATTCAACTATTAAACAGCGTTTATTGTCAATATTCTTAATTTTAAGTCCAGTTCTGAATTTGCTATCTAATTCATTATGAATTTTAATAACTTCATTGTATTTTTTACCACTTTCAATGAAACATTGAATTTAGATATTTTAATCTTCATTCATGGCATAAATAGTATATTTAGATTAGTCTTCACTTAATTTATAGCTTATATAATGTAGATTTGCATATCCAATCTTTGAAAGATCATTTGCCACTAAGGTAGTGAATGGTAAATAAGACTAGTCATTGTCAATATATATTTTATCTTATGTTGAGTTTCCTAATAATGTTAGAATACTTTCCTATCTTAAATGTTCACTAAAATTATTTCTATAAAATCTACTCAAAGGTACCATTCCACTGCCCAAAATAGCCAAAAATGATTATTAACCTCTATCTTAATTTGTATGCAATGATCCAGTTCCAGTATAATGATAACTTATGTAATCTCCATGATCTCCCCACATTTGTTTAAATAACAAAATAATTGGATTCAAGAATTTGGTATTGTTCTCATTGATTTCCAAGACCTTGTAACCCAAAATTCTCTCTAAATCCAATCCCATACATTTCAATTGATATTCTAACATCAATAACCCAACTCTCTATTAATAGACATTTGTTCTGTCCAAGCATGCTAAACAATTGGTCCTAACAATTCCTCTTTATTTCAACTTTCTTTGATTAGTTACTAAATCATAGGCATCAAATTGCATATTCTTAATGAAATTACCAATTTTCATAATGTCTTGGTTTATTATGTGGAAATCAACTCCTTGAGTAATTTCATCAAAATTATAATATATATATTTTAATCTATCAGGTTAATATTGATGAATTCCCAATTCATATGCCTAGATTAAATCATGCTCTTATTATTTATTTTTATTCATTAAATTCACAGCTAAAACTCTTTCATAATTTTACACTAACCTATTAAAATGATTTATAAATGCAATTTGATTTTCTTATTCAGTTCCATATAATTCTAATTTCTTCATTAATAAATTTCCTGATTCTCTCCAAAATACAGGAACACTCCCTCTGATCTATTTAAATTAACATTTCAAATTGGCGACTACTACTATCTAAGTAGTTTCAACAAAATTAGCTACACTGCCATCTTTCTACACTCCAGTTTAAGTCAATCTTGTTCCTGGAGCCTTTAAAGATCTTTTGGCAATCAAAGCAACTTATACTCTTTTACCTTCTAAATAGACAGAAAAACTATCCATAAATCCTTAGATCATTAGAACATCCCAATTTTTTATTTGTTAAGTATAGAGTTGTTTGCATAGTCCTCGATTCCACATAAATTCTTCTCTGTCAATATCATCACATTTTTCATAAGTGAAATAGAATCCTTTAGAGAGTAGATTTTTCAAGTTTGATACGGCTTCTTAGATTTCTGTAACAGAAGCTGCTCTATTGTCCAAGGCTATAAATTTGGTGGAGTGAATGTGAAAGAAATCCTTATAGAGAGGATGCAATTGATGATGACTACAACGATCCACCATCAATAAAAATATCACTTATTTAATGTTAATGAAACCCAAAAATGCAGAATAAAGTTAAGCTGATTCTTGTAGTTTCCGACTTTTAAGATCTTCAACAGAAATACGAAAGTCTTTTCGATTGACTATCAATCGTGTATCTATTGGAAGACTTTTACTATTAGGTTCTAACTATTAATTAAATCTAGATTTACAATGATTTCTGATTATGTAATAAGTACCTTAATTGCCTGGATATTTTGAGGCAATAGTACAGTTTGATTCTGATTAACAATCTCTCTTTTGAAATCGATTTGATTGATTAGGTCGACCATTTTTAATTTATTAAAATAAATATAAAATTATATTTAATAACAATGTTTATTAATACACTCCCTTTCATACATTTGATTAATCATTATTTTCATCATCCAAAGATTCATATTTCGTCTAATTCTTTCCTTTCTCTTTTGCTTCCTCCATCTTCTTCTCTAATTGCAAATTCAGGTTCTCCAACTTTAACTTTATTATTCTTCTATATATTTTACAGAATACACATAATCTAATAATTAATAGAATTATTACAATGCTAAAAGTACACTAATAACTATTGCTACTCCGATGATAAACTCATAAAATCTGTGTTTATACCAGTACAGAGAAAGATTGGGCATGGCTATCTAAGCAACATGATAATACATCTCATAATCTTGAATTGTGAGATTGTTAAAAACTAGAACTTGAGCACGTATAGCAACAAACAATTCAGAATGCATTGATTATTTACCAACAGTAATATTAAAGACTATTGATTCAGTATGATTAAGTGCATATAGACCAATGTCTACTTTATCGAATTTATTTGTGTGATTCACGTGATATTCTGCATACTGATTAAATTGACATAGACCTATCACATGAGCATACTAGATTGTACTACCCCAACTGATAGAATATTTTATTAGACTATTCATTTCTTGATGAAGATCACAACCTACGCATTTCAATGGCTTGAATTTGACAGTAATAAAATCTGAATCAAAAGTCTCAAATGAATAGTTTATTTGACCATCACCTCCCATCACCAATTGTCCAAATGGAGCAAAGTCTGATGCCTTGTACACTTATGTTGTGAACTTATAAACACTTTACTCAGACTAAAACTTAAAGTAAACAGCTCCTGGCATAACTGGTACTATAATATCTGTTAATTAGCCTTCTACAGTTGTCTTACTACTATTAAATTTCCCCTTAATGAATTAATCGTAATCTTGAGTTATTGATACATTCAAATCCCCTAAACAATTGTACACTTGAATAGCTAATTTACCTTCATAAGGGATATAGGATTCATAGAACTTGGATTAAGAATTATAGATCTAATCACTTTAACTTGATTTTTCATCTATCAATAAGACTTCCTTGCCTACAATGCTGATTTATAAATCAATTCTATTTAAATAATTGTTTCCATAAACGTATCTCTCCTTCATCTTGTAATTTCTTATAGGTACAACGTTTCCTTCTCGATTAAATTAATATTCAATATTTGCATTTTCATTTCCTTTGATTTCTAGAAGGCTATGAATTTTGATAGTTAACAGTCCTTCCATAATTGGTAAAATGTACATCTATTAATTTAGTCTGCTAGAGAGAGGTGTAAGTAGAGTGAAATTTTCTGCATCTGTTTCATTAGATACTTCTATTCTGAAGTAATCTGAGATTTACATATCTCTATTATAATGAGTCATTTTAACTACTAATTATGGTTAACTCAGATAACGATATTGATGATATAATGTAATAACAGGGGTTTATCTACTTAAATAAGCAAATGTTATGATTCCATCTTATAAAAGTTACCCATTTCCAGTTGTGGATTGAGTCACCAATATAGAATAATTGGATGGCTTCTATTAGTTATTCTTAACAATGATATAGAGATCGTCATCATTATAATGGCCTGCCAAAGTATGAGATTCATTTGCATAAGGAGTATAATTAGTTTCCTCTAAATGTTCCCTTGGAGGGATGATAGCTTGATAGTATGGAATTGATGCAGTAGTATTCATTAATTTCTGTTATTTAATAATGTTATACGGTCCATATTAGTAGTTAGAGGAATCCAGCACGGCATTGTATCCAATCCACATTTAAGTGTCACCATTGTACTGATTCACTTAGACCTCAATTTAATGATCGGTATTATAGGAAAAATGATAGATGTTGTAATCATTCTGATTCTCCAAGAAATCAGTAAATGCAATATTTTAAGGCAATTACACAAAATTGAATTGGGAAGTAACTACGATTAATAAATCTACTATGGTTACAACAGTTTTGATTTTGACGATGTATGTGCATAATTCACAATATTTCTTATTGTCATTTTTATGAATGATGTGTTAATTGTAAGATTGACCTGCTAGTAATTATTCTTTAATAATAGTTTCTTCTTCGCATTCCTTTTGAATATTGTCTAGACATCTTGAGATTTCAATCACAGAAGTTCCTTAAACCTTAATAACTTTAAAGTATAAGTCTTCATCTGTTAGGATATTAAAATATTGATAATGGACTTCTTCGTCAACATCTAATTTGATTCTTGTTGGCACTCCCATCATCAATTTATGATTATTCCTATCGTTTGATATTTCCAAAGATAACTAAAACTTGCTATGGTCAGCTATAGAATCGATTTCAATTATAATATACGGATTATGAGTAAGATTGAGTTGAGTTAATTTCTCTTGTATTTCTGCTTAACTCAACTCTAAGACATTGCCTTATACCTCATATTCACACTTATGAAAACCAATGGTATCTTCATCGTTAAATTAGAGACAAATTGATCCTTTGCCATAAATTTCATGTAAGATCAATTTGAATTTCGACTAAGGAGTCATATCATTAATTTCTGAAAATATGAATTTCCTAGGCTTAAACTTGCTTACTGAAATTTAAATAGGTAATCCACTTTTGAGATCCATGTATGATTATGTAACTGTGACTTACACAGTATCATCAAAATTGATTGCTCTATCGCTTTAGTATTCTATCTGTTTCGCTTCTAATAATATTTTCAATACACAATCAGGTTTGCAGAATTGAAATGCATCAGAATGTATACTTTTAGAATGTTATGTTTTGTATTCCTCTTTGGCATAAAGAGAATCAGCCTCTTAAAAATTTTGAGAATCCAGAATCTAAATTTGATATCTGGTGTATCCATAATGCGAATTAATGTGTAGTTAAACATCAGATTGAGTTGAAATTACTTTATAATATAGGAAGGTTTCTTACATCAAGTATTCTATATTGAATGTGTATTCCTGTCCATCTTTCAGCTCTAAGGCAGCCTGGGGATTCCAAACATTTATATTAAATAAGATATCTTCATTGCCGTGATTTTCAATTATTATGTAAGCCTAACAAATATCCATAACACCTGAATCCTCATCTCTATCCTCTTGAGTTAAACCATTTAAACACAAACTATTTAAGTCAGATTATGATAATTTAAGTGTACTTGAATCTTTACTCTTGGCGAATTGAGAATTATTATCTGATTTGATATCATTTTAAACAGTTAAAGTTAATTTTGAATTGTTTTTGCTTTATAAACTAATATAAAATAGGGTAGTATTTTGACCATAGTAGAAACTGAAGTATTTAGACTTGAACCCTTTAGCTAGATCAACAAATTGTTAACCAACATGGAGAGTTTTAACAGTTCTGCTAGTGGAATAAGTGATAGTGTACATGATTTACTTATCTTAGAATGTCTCAAACATATTCAGAATTCCAATAGTATAATTACCAGAACTCTAATAAAAATTATCTTGGGGTAGGATGGCCAAATAGTTATTATAAGCAATCAAATCGAAGTCTTCGAGAGTTGGCAATTAATTTCCTTATCTCAAAGTCAAAGCTACTTGCAATCTTGAAGAATGAATAGCAAATTCAATGGTGGGTTATTATTCATCAATTACTTCTACATTCTGATCCACTTGATTGAAATCAATCATGACTCTAAAATAATGGATTTTGGATTATCCATCCTTCAATTCCAATACTCCTCTATAAGTTTCATCCTCTCTTAATACTTTGATATTAATGTCTTTCAATTTAGTGACTTTGGCCAAAAATTGAAATATTGTAGTCTCTCTTGCTGTTAAAGTAATATAATATTGAGTGTGTTTCAATTAATCTCCTCTAAGAACGACTAGATGATCCACACCTCCAAAGTGTTTTGCACATTCCATTCTGACAGGATAACAACTGCTGTCTCTACTAATCATGTAGACAATATTGTGAGTATTGACTGTGAACACTAATTCCTCATCATCATCTGACTTTTCATATTTCAGAATGAGATGTTCTTCTTATGACTATTCCAAATAATTGGTATAAGCAACATCAGATTTAAGAATGCGTTGATTATTATCATTTTAGGTAGTCAACATATAGATTTTCTTATTATCACTTGTTATTTCTAATTAGAATCTACAGAATCCTTCTTAATCTTTATTTTAACAATGTGGTGTCACAAATACTACAGGTTTCTATTCATGTTTGTAAAATCTTAAATTGTGATTATCTTCATCACTAAATTAGCAGCCATCTTAACATTCTGCTATTCTTATAGAGTTAGCTCCTTTTTCAAAATATACTAATTTAATTCCGACCTCCTGTTCACTTTCGATAGTTTTGAATTAATAATTGTGTTTACCCTTATCTTAGATTTTAGACAATACCAACTGATTATTGTAAAGTATGGCTTCATCAATCAGTTTCACAACCATCAGATATTTCAATGAACCCCCTTAACTCAAATTGATAGTGACTTCATCCCCTTCAATATCCTCTCTTCTCAAAATGACATGAAATGCTTGACCTCTCTATTACAATTATATTGGTTCTTGTGAATTAAAAAATACATTATCCTTCTTGTGTACTTTCAATAATGGTAACATATCTCCAAATATTCCTATTTATAGAATTTTGAATTATTGAGGCAATTTCAATTAATAGGAGTTCTCATCTCTTTCAAACAAATAATCCTACACTTCTTAATTTATCTCAATTTCTTCTTCATCTTTATACAAATACAATTATCCATTTATTGTTGCTTCTTCTTTAAGATTCAAATCTCCACTCAAAACAGCCAATAATTTGCATTTTTCACAATCCTTCCTATTTACAGCCACTGTCAACTAAACTTCATCTCCATAGAGTTTAGCCTTCTCTTCAAATACTTCTATGTTTATTTTGTCTGATTCATCATCTTCCAATTTAAATTCTCCCACCATCCTACTATATTTACTAGGTAGTTGCATAGAAATCACTTAAACAGGCAGTTTCTGAGTCAAAATCAACTCTGTACTCTTACTACTCAATTCAATTGCATCATTGTTTATTACTGTAATCCTACCCTTACATGGAACACTAAGGCATTTTAAATTGATGTCATCAGATTTAATCGTAAATAATGCAGTCTCGTAAAATTTGCTCAACTTAAACTCCTCATCTTTGCTTTTTATTAGGATCTCCCCAATATCACTCTTCTTCTCATTCTGCTATGGTCGAACATACATAATGATAAAATCCTTTTCCCACTTCTCAGGCAATTCCACTGACACTGATTTACCTGATTTCAAATCGAATAAGAAATCCTTCTGTTTTTTAGCCAAAACCTAGATTACTAAAAACAACATAACACAAATCCGAGCCATCATTAATTTTATAATTAATTATTGTATAAATTCAAATAATTCACAACATCAATTGGGTACATAAAAACAACTGCAATTCATATTATATTAAGCCCTCTTTGATTACTAATTATTTACAAACTCTATCCACATTATAATATTTAATAATATGGCAATAAATTTATTTTAATCCTCTACTAATAACATATTCGGCCCATTCAATACTAATTCGAATAACTTTCCAACAAACAATAAGTATAAAATACATGCTTCATTCGTAGCTTTAATCCAACTGTTCCAGGCTCTTACAGAGGAACTTTCAAATCCCAGAGAATCACATATGGACTCATGGATGCAGAGGATCAGAATTCAACTTTATACACAACCAACATGTTCATGCAATAAGAATACAAAGGAATTGTACAAAATTGATATTTACATAGAGTGCTATTCAAATTAGATTAGAAGATTATTATTTGATTAGATCACAATAAATTTAGGACACTCATAAATCACAATTAGAGACTGCAGTGAGGAAAAACAATTTTAATTCTAAATTGATAAAATTCACAAATTAACAAAGTTTTTATTACTTATTACAATAGATCTAAAGCCGCCTTAATTTCAAGATTAAAATGATATTTTCAGAAGATAAAACAACTCATTCAACTAATCAAATGATCTTTTTAAACAACCCAATAGTTACCAAAATATCTTCAACAATCCATCGGATAACAATAGAAAAGACATTTTCTCCAATAATTCAAATGATTTATTCAATAAAAATAATAATAATAATCCACCCAACATATTTAATGCTCCCCCCTCCAATAACTTATTTAATACTAATAACAATTCAGCAGCCAACCTATTTCAATAGTAAACCAATAATTCAAACAACATCTTTTAATAAAACAATAATAATAATAGACCTTTTAATTCAGGAAATAACAATAACAATATTTTCAATTAGTCTACTAATATATTTAGTTAATAACCAAACAACAATAATATGTTCAATAGCTAAAACATCTTTTCCAATAACAATCTCTTCAATTCCAATAATTTATTTAATCAACCCTAATAAAATATATTTAATCAACCTATGATGTTTTAGTATCCCAATAATAGCAATATCATCTAACCTATATTACAAGCACCATTATTAGGCTCCATAGACTATTTGAAATTTTAAGAGAACTAATTTAAAGATTTTACTCAATAGGTTGATTCTCAAATTGTGATGTTTGAATAATAGAAGCAATTGAGCTTAGAAGAATATGATTGTATGTTGAGAGAGAGTTCTAAGATGAATTTCGATTATCGATTGTAGAATTAATACACTCAAAGTATGAAATCCTCGAAAACCTTTAAATTGTAAAATCAGAAATCGTCCAATATGAGCAATAAAACTATCAGCATTCGTTAAGATAAAAAAACATCTTCCACATATTAAGCACATAGTTTGAATACAGAAACTAAAAGCATTTTCAATAGAGAAGATAGAAAACCCATCTCTAAGTTTTAAGATAATTGTCAATACACTGATTCTAAGAGCGAATTTAAAAGTTTTGTTTAGAGAGATGAGAGAAAATCATAATCAATGTTTTGGCTTGATATTGAAATTAAGTTTTTAGAAAGTGAAAATAGTCTGACCATTTACCAAGAATTTTAGATTAAATCTAGAGTCTAGAATGTCAAATAATTTGTAGAAAACCACCTTGAAAATATTGAAATCTTTGGTTCATTGTCATAACAATATTTTAACAATTGCTAAATATACAATGAAAATACTCTCGTTGTTGACAATTCAATCTAACTTGCTAAACTGTCAGATCACAGATTGATATTCCATTATTTTTATGTCAAACTACCAAAATTAATTAGAGATGGTTATTCATCCAATTTGCATGAATGTCCTGATCTTAAATAAGCGTAAAACTTTAGAGTTTCAAATAAATTTGGCAAAATTGTATGGACTTAACCTATTAATATATATTATGTAGATTTAGATAAAGTCATTGATATTAAGTAGGAATCCATCGAGGTTTATGATACTAATAAAATACATGAATTATTGAAACCTGACGTTGGAGTTAAGCTCAATACTGAAAGCTTAATAACATTCAAATTTTCAATAAAGAATCCTTAAATCAATTAGATCAAATTTAAGAACAACTTAATTGCTTAAGCCTAAAAATAAGGTTTATAATTTATGTCTATTGACTTCTAAACCTTTGAATATACTGTGAAATCTTTTCATTTTAGTGGATATCATTTTAATTCTGATTACTCGAATACTGACAATCAGAATTATTAGGATTAACAGTAACAGGTAGAAATGCAGACCAGTGGAGATGGAGACATATTTGAATAAGAGGAAAATGATTAAGAGCCTTCTGAAATTCAAAGCGAAATTGAACTTGAATTGAAATACAAATTTGATTTCAGTTTTTAGGATATGAGAAATAAGGAGAAATCTATTAACTATTAAATTTCAAATGATAACATCAATAAATTTAATTCAAGACTCTCTTAAAAAATAGTAATTCCACTCAATTTTGTCTAATAAAATCAATAATTGCAAATTGATTAGAACTTACTTTAGAATTACTTCAATCATTATCAAAAGTAGGAACAAGTAAAAAAAAGTTAAACAATATCCATCTTATTACTTGATTGCTTATATTAATGCATAACTCCAAGTGAGGAAATAATAAGGTCATTCCAATTATTCAACATATTATTTGGAGTTCCAACTATAGATTTAGTTAATTTCTTGCAATTACAATCAAACTATGTGGTTTCATTACAAGATGTTAAAAAGAATTCAAAAATAAAATATATAAGAGGGTTACGTTTAAGTTTATATTTGGAATAATTTAAAATATACTTTAATTAAGTAGAATATAGAGAATAACAGATTATTTAACAACAGTAATCAGACCCTCTTTAAAATGTCTTTATTAGTTTAAACATAAAACCTAAAACTCACAATGAGATTAAATTAAATAAAAGTGATTGGATTGATAGATTCACAGATTGGAGAATTAACAGATCCTAATCATAACCATTATATGAGACTTAATGGTGGGAACAATTATACAATGAATAAAAAGATCATAAGATTGTATCATCATAATACGCAGCATTAATATACTTATTACTTAAGAAGACCAAATAGCCTATCTCAGAATACAAAAAACTGTTTGAGTATTTACATAGTAATCTTGATACATATACAATAATATTGTTAAATATCATGCTAAGTAAATAGTAAGAAGTATCGGAATAATTGAAAATAATAGGGCGATCTGTTATTACTAAATTATTGAAATCTTCAATGCCTAAATAATTGATATTTAGTATTTTAGAGACTTTCAGAGATAAGGTGTTCTAGAAGGAAGAACTAACCCGAGTCTAGTTATTGCTTGGAAAATTGGGATATTTTAATAATCTAGATGGGAAAGATATTAAAGATGTGGATGCATAGATTGATAAAAAATAGTTTATTCAAGCTGCAAAAATCATAATAGAAAAGAGGTTGGAGAATCAATACTATTCTATATTAGGTTAAACTATATTACCTTATTTGGTCATTTGTGATTACTATAATGAGGGTGATCTCAGGTTGCTGATTAAACACATAATAGATAAAAATAATAGAGATGATGATGTTATTATTATATGCTAGGTATGAATATTGGTTAGTATTAGATGTATCTAAATGATAAATAGATGAATGAGTCATCAATTATAAAATGGGTAACAAAAAACGAGTATCAATATCATCTGAAATAGATCATGCTAAAAGTATACTCAGATTAGTCTTGATAATATTTGCATATTTAATTAATTATTCGATTGGTTTTATTCTGTTGTGAGAATTATGATTATATTTGGTGAGCAAATGATGCATTTGATAATTAAATGTTTTTATTTTTAATTTTATATATATCTGCAGCAAAAGATAGTCATTATTTGGGATCCATAAAACATACACTTTAACCGAATTAAACATTTGAGCATCAATTCTTTGACGTGAATCAAATTAGATCCCTTGATTTGTACTTCCCTGATCCTCCCTATAGAATGATTAATGATGAGGATATGAATTGCTATTGGTCCAATTAAGCTATAGGACTTAAACCAGTGCAAACAATTCAGATGAGTGTATCGAATTCATTAGATTCAGATATAGTATGTTTTGATGAATGCTTTATAAGGTAAGGTTAAGTAATATATACAACCAAGAATTAAACAATTGATCTGCAATACTAGAATCTTCAGTTGTTGGTATTGTCATCTGAAGGATAAATAATCTACTATAATGAAAAGAGTGTTAGTGTATTTGATACTATCAATATGAAAATAATAAATGAAAATTTGTCAGCTGATTTTACATCTAAATTAAAGCAGAGTCTGATGGGTTATTAGCACATGTCAACTAAAATTATTTATTTGTGTTTAGAAAATGGAGTGTTTGCTTACAATGATGAATATTTTATAATCCATTAATATGGGAATGGATGCAAATAAATTATATTGCAAGATGATAATTTGTTTATTGTAGCTGATGGAATTTCCATTTATGATATCAATGATCCTTTTGACCCTATTAATTTATATCAATTCAATATAAGTGGTCATTACATTGACATATATCAAGATTATTTGGCAGTTCTGGAATTGTTGAATTAATAGAGAGGTAAATTGAGTTTATTTAAATTCAATTTTCAATTTGGATTAAATGAGGTAGTAAATATAACACAGGAATCAGAAGGGACAATACAACTGGAATCACAAGATATCAGATTTGGGTTGTTAAACAAAGACATAGCTCTTATAATCAATAAGGAGTAAGTCAATATGATCACTCTACAAACTAATTTCCATTAAAAGTATAGACACAACAGTGGTTTGGGATAAGCACAACACTTCTTGGATCCAGAGAATAAGATATTCATTAGAGACTCACAAATAATCCAAGTGAGCAATAATAGTTTGAACTTTTATAACACAACCAGTCAGAGTTATAATTTAGTGTGCAATGCTCCTATCGAGAATAAATTGAGAAAACATCTGTTCTTTGGCATTATAAGGAGTGAAGAGAAATGCAAGAGTTCTAAAAAAATAGATGAGAGATTCAAGGAGATTCTATCTAGAGAGAAACCAGATCCAAAAATACAATGTTATTATACTTTCTAATTGAGTCTGAGTATCATCCCATTGTAAACACATTGGTCTTTGCAATCAAAAATTCTCTTGTGTATATTCTTATTTCTACTTGTCTTGTTAATACTCCAATAATTCAGGAATCAATAGGAAAAATAAACTCTAAACAATTTACAAAAGTTTGAATAATTGAACAATATCAACCTCTAGAAACAAAAGATACGCATAACTCACGATGATGATGAATAGAACAATAATAAAATTGATTTGTATTGATAATATCATATAATTAATTATTAAGTATTATATTTAATTAATGTTGCCATAATATGCATTATTTCATTCTAAATGATTAAACATTTAACAACTCAATTATACTTAATTATAAAAGTCAGATTCTTCAAGAACAATTAGTTTTAATAATTATTTAACAGGGATGGCTTACGAATTCGCAAAGTTATTCTCAAAGTATTTCTCTCTAATATTCAAGAGTTGTTACCCATACATTTTTTAGAGATATCGAAGTGATTGGATAAGAAAATATTCCAAAAGTAATGGCATCATTTTATTCATAGGATGGTCCAATCCTACTCTATGGAAATCATAACAATCAATTCATTGATCCATTAGTATTACTTTACAATATGCTTAGTTAATTATCTCCAACATGACAAGAAAGATCAATTTCATTGCAGCAGCCAAAGTATTACTCATATCCTATTATTAGAGCATGAGAAAGCCAATTATTGGAGACATTGGTAAAGCTCTAGGTGGAATCCCAGTTGAAAGACCATAAGATCTGGCCAAAATAGGAAGTGGAATTTTAAAGAAGTATGATGGAACTTATTTGTTTGCAGAAAATTCTCAATTTACCAAACAATGCCAAATACATGATTCAATACTTATACAAGGAGTAATCTGCAATATTATCATAGATTGACACTATTATACTTATTGTTGAAATTATTAGCGACACTAAAATTAAAGTTCAATGTGAAGATCCAAGTTAACTTCATGTCAAAGATAACAAATACAAAATACAACCAAAAGTAGATTAATCAATGATGTTTGAACAAGTTTGGCTAGCTTTGAAACAAGGAAAATGCATAGGAATATTCCCAGAAGGAGGATCACATGATAATACTACCTTATTACCCTTGAAACCAGGAATCTGCATTATGGCTCTAGGAGCTAGTTAAAAATATTAAACCAAAGTTAAATTATAACCAGTTGGATTAAACTATTTCAAAGGACACAAATTCAGATCCAAAGTTATTGTAGAATTTGGAGTTCCTTATGAAATCAGCTAATAATTGATTGATACTTATGCTATCAATAAAAGACAAGCAATAAGTAAATTATTACTGGAAATAGAATAAGTATTAAATTAACTCATAATAGTAACTAAAATCAGTAACCATACAAGCTCCAAGTTATTCCCATTTATCAGCAGTTATTATAGGAAGATCTCTATATTTACCTGATAGAACAAGACTTTCTCCTCAAGATCTTCTTTAGCTTACAAAAAGGTTTAATTCAATATTATTTACTTAGGTTTTTATAAGCGTTTTACAAGTTAAAAGAACATCCCGAAGTCAATTAGGTGTTGACTGAAATCAAACTTTACAATTATAAGCTTAAAGCCTTAGGTGTAAGAGATTGGGAAGTTATGAGAATGCAGAAGAGAATCTATTTGGATCTTTAGATAATTGGATTTAATATTTTCATGACAATACTCTGTTTGCTCTTTGCATTTCCTGGATATATCATGACCATTCCAATAACCATTATCTTGAATATGTATGCAGAGAAAGAAAGGAAGAGTGCTTTGGCTGGATCTAAAGTTAAGATATCTGGTAAGGATGTCGTTGCCTCATTTAAAGTATTGGCATCCATAATAATCGTTCCTATTTCAGTCTTCATTTACACAGTTCTATTTTATTTATGGCTGACTGTTTATAAGATAGTAGATGAAGAGCTTACTTTTAGATACACTATAATCTTTCTATTGATGTGGCCCATTTACATCACTGCCATGATTCGCTCTAATGATGGATTAATAAGACATGCAAGAAAGGTGAATAGTTAAATCTTATTCTATCTATATGAGAATAAGTATAGAAAATTAAAGATACAAAGAGAGGAATTGTAAAATAAGGTATTAATAATATATCCATTATTTTAGATTAGAAGATTGGTTGATGCTTTTGGAGAAGAAGTCATTTAGGATTTCAATCAAAATAGAATTGTTCAAAAGAGCTAATTAGTATCACCGAAATCAGTAGCTGAATTGGATATTTAGAATGTATTTGAGTCTCTTTAAGAGTTGGGAATTTGATTCATTTAATATTTATACATTTAAACAAATCCATAAGAGAATTAGTATTATTTTATTTAATTCCAATATTCTATTATTACTTAGTAACATGCTTAAGTTTGAATCATTATATATAAATTTGATAAATAAAGAATTCTTCATAATTTTATTACGTTTTATATAGAAATAATTATGTTTCAGAGATCTAATGTAGATTTATGACGTCCAAGATTAGGTATAATGTTGGAAAATACAATATTAACCTCTTCACTGGCAATCTAATCAATGTGATCGTAATCTCTATAATCATTATCAATCTCGAAAAATGCCATTTTCCTCTCTGTTTTAGTTGTAGTTTATTTGATAAATATCTTCTAGTTTGGACTAGTCTCTCTGTCTTTTTTCTAAACATCTGCTGTATTATTTCTTTAGTCTTTTCTGTCAGTAGGGAATCTCTTAAGCTTATCTATCTAACTTATTTAATAATTATTAATTTGACTAGTTCCAAAACTAGAAATATTTTAACTGACATTCTAATTAACATATGTAAATATATTGATACTCTGCTCTGTTTGTTTTTGATATCAGGAGATAAGGAATCAAGTTATAAATCTTTCATTGGTAAATTCAAGAATGAACTTCCCTTGTGATCTTAACCTTTATCTTCACTACTTTTACGAGCATCAGAATCTACACCTTGTTAAACAAGTTTTTCTAAATATTATGAATAATACCCATTTTTAATTTGAGTTGATTAGTCTATAATCTAGCCTTGCGTTTCTTGATCTCTGGAAATCGCTCCCATTCGTATTCTGGAGTAGCCAAGGTTTGCAAGGATGACAATTCTTATTGGAATTATTTCTAGAACAGTTCCTTCAGGAATGCATAATCTGGTTCACCCTAAAAGTCGAGTCCACGTGCATAAATGAATAAATTCAAGAAACACTTAAAAGATGATAATTAGGATAAACTTTTGGCAATCCTTCGCACAACTTTTCCAAAGTCAATTGTTGTTTGAACTCCTTAATCTTCTGATACTTCTCAGACTTTGTGGAAGTATTCAAATTCATCCATGGTAATTTCCCTTTTGCCAAATAGACCAATACGTATCCCAAACTCTCGATATCATCTCTACGTGATTATTCCTTTGCTTAATAATTTCATATTCACAACATCGTACCTAAATGAGCAGTCAAACTGGCATATCTTGCTGTTCCGATTATTCCTCTTTTCTCAGTCTAAGGTATATGATTGCCATTCTAATCTCGATAATACTTTGCCAACCCAAAATCAATTAAATAGATTTGGTCTACGTCCTCGTAACCTATACACATGTTGTCTGGTTTCAAATCCCTGTGAATCAAGTTCTTAGAATGCAATAATTTTAATCTATCAATCAAATTCATTCCTATCCTACACACGGTTGTCAAACTAAACTTATAATTACTCCGCTTCAGAAGATGTTCCAAATTCTAACCCAAATACGTTTGCATAAAGTAATTGTAATGTTCATCTCTCCCATAAAATACGATCTACGGAAAACCTTTATCGATTAGTATATTACCTTCAAATTCTTATACCTCTATCAAAACTTTTATTTCTCTCACCAACAGACTCATCCCATTCGAATTCTCCTCTCTCTTCTCAAATTTTGTAGCGAAGATATCTCCCGTCTCCAAATTCTCAGTCTTATATATCATCCCAAAACTCCCTTGTCCAACCTTATCTATCAGTTTAAATTTCTGAGCTATAATCTATCCAACTGACAACTTAGATTGATTATCAGCATGTACTGTGCCATGTTTCTTGTTGGATCTCATAATTATTTTTCAATCAATATTATATTTTTATAAATAAACATCTTTAATTATAAGATATCACTCTTGCATTCATCGATTATTACTACTTACCCTACTTTTAAATATTCAATAATTAGGTAATTTATAATATCAAATTATAATCAAGTTTGGTTATTCATCAAATAAATGACTGGGTTAAATCTATTAAATCAGCTTGCATAATACATATATTATATATATTGATACAATCATTATTAATTAAGAATATGATTTTAATAAACATTTTTACTATTAATTCTCATCTATTTTATGATAAAAATACAAAAATTAAAAATGATATCAAATATTATCTTTTTGTAGCACAAACTACTTAAATACCCAAATTACAATATCAAGATATTGATTAAACTAATACGCAGATACTAAATATCGTTCAATAATAAATGGATGTCGATTGAAATAGGTAAAGATCTAAACTATTTACGATACTAACTTTATATAAATTTAGAATGGATTACTTATAAATGGAATATTGGTGATCCTACTTAGTACTCAATTGATTAAGCAAGATTAAGTTAGCTACTTGTATACTATCAAAGAATTAAATTAATTATCATTTTATTCGAATATAGTTCTAATTATTCTTGTTTTAAGTACTATAAGTGATTGAATTTCTACCAAACAAAAATACATTCAAATTTAAGATTGGCTTATCAAATAGTATATTAATTTAAGATATATTACTCATAAGCCAAATACTTTTAACCTCATTAAATTATGATGATATGTTTTGATGTAATTTATTCATATATAATATTTATAATAAGATAATAAATGATACTTCACTCAATGAGACCAAAATCATAGTTAGGAGATAGCATTATCGTGAGTTGTAAAATCATAGAAATTAAAATGATGTTAAATGAGATAAAATTTGATTATATTAGGAATGTTACTATTGCTATCATAAAGTGAAGCATTAAAAATGAATACATTTTTATTAATAATATATATAATTTGCTATATATGATATTAGATCTTAGAATAATAAATCATTCATAATTAGTTATTATAACATGAAACTGTAAACTTTTGTAAACGGAAAGCCTTAATAGAGAACTAAGCCGATACTTCAGAAGTTAGAATAGGATATTCGAAATTTGGAGAAAATAAAGCAAAGAAATGCGATAAGAGTTGAAAGATTGTTATCAATTAATCTCAAGGACGTTGGATATGTGTGCAATTATAGTATGACGATTGAAAACAGGGTTGAAAGTCGTCAATGTTTTCGTAGCCGGAAAAAAGATCTCCAACTCAAACTGGATTCAAATGAAGATTACTTCAAGTTTCGAAATGAATCTACGCTGTCACCAAATAAAAATTATTGGTAAATATAATTAAAAATATCAAAAGGGCTAAACTTGCATATAGACAAAGTCATTTGGGGAGTGATAGATAGCATAGAGTCATCTGAAAGATGTTTTTTGATTACTATGATTATTATTATATATATTTATAAATATATATATAAAATGAAAAAATGGGATGATGATTTTCGTATGAAGAGCTACGTTAATAAAATCTAGAATGCGAAGTCCACAGTGCCGAGTAATCAAAAAAAATCTATGAAAAGTAACAAATGACAACAATATCATAGAACAACCAAATAGGGATTCAGAATACAGTAGCCATGTATCATATAGATCTGATTTCACTGATATCAAGGAAAGTTTGTTGTTCAAGTAAGTGAGAGATCTATTCATATTAGATAATTGTTTGAATACAATTTATAATAATATGCACATAAATTATTATTAAGAGGCTATTTAGGTGGATTATAAACCTTAGCTCAATAACCAATAGATTTATAAAACCAGATACTACAAGAGATTAGATTACTGCCTGGACATAAATAAAAATTTTTAGATTTGTTTAAATATTTAAACGATCATTACAATCCTCATAATTATAATGTCTAAAATTCATAAACCCCAACTTACAATTAATAAAACAGAAATACATTGCCTTAATAATTTAATTCCCACAGTAAGATTGAATAAACAAGAGAACCTTATATTGAAATACTGAAGCCAGTCAATCGAAGAGCATCTCTCAAACATTTCTCTCCTCTCTAAGAGATTGGAGTCATTAAACCAAGAGTATTACCAAAATTGGAAAGACGCTCTATTAATGGAAACAACGACAAAAGTCCTAAATTTTCCGATAGTTTAACTTAACAATTAATTCCCAATTAAGGAGCTACTCATGGTAGTTCTCTGTCAATAACTAAAGAAATTCCAAAATCATTATCAAAAACTAATAATATTCCTATAGTGAAAATTAAATAAACTATTAAGAAAAAGTCAATGATCAAACAAAACGCTGAGAAAGACAATAAATTATTGAAGAAATTATTATAAATCAATTCAAAAAATAGCATAGGAGCAGAGATTCAGTTATAGTAAGATTAGATTTAATTGATGTATTAATCATTTGATAATGGAAAATTAGCTTCCACCTTGATCAATATTGATATTGAGGAGATTAGTTATTGTGTAAGCATTACTCTGTAAAAAATGATATCCATTGTTGATTTGGAGTAACAAAGATATCTCGAAAATGAAATCTAAGAAATTCAACAATAAATCTTCAAGGAGTCTGATTAATACGAGGAGTTCGAATCCAGAAGTATTAAGTCATTATCATAGTAGCCAATAAAGAGAGATACAGTGAGGATTGTCGAGATGAAGAAAACAATGATCAAACAGTCAATATATCAAAGGTAGATCAGACAAATTGTTAAGATTACTTAGGAGAAGCAATAATAGAGCCTGAAATTACAGATTAATATTATGGGAGTGAAGATGTTGCCACTGAATAGATCCAAAATGCAGATCAAAGTGAATAATCAAAATTATAGACTGAATAGGAATAAGGGGATTATTTTTAAGTACAAGAATAGGATAATAAGTATATTAAGTAAATATATAATAGCGAATAAGTTTCTAAATCATATTTTTCAGTTGATACATCTTATAATTTAGAAGATTACCTATTATTTAATAAAGTGTTTATTGATAAAACGATGACTAATTATATTCCAAATGTTGACATAATATAAAACTATTGTAAGAATATAATGACAACTACCAAAATGGAAAGGGAAGTGGCAATCATCTCTATGATTTACATAAACAGATTGCTAAACTATAATTAAGGCTTAGAATTAAACTGTTTCAACTGGTAGAAGATTTTATTTACGTCATTGATTATGGCATCTAAAATATGGGATGATGAATCATTTGAAAATAATAATTTTGCAAAGGTTTTACCCTAATTTTCAACTTTACAAATAAATGAGATGGAAAGGGTCTTCTTGAAATTAATCGAATATCATCTCTATGTAAATTCTGGGGAATATGCAAAACAATATTTCATCTTAAGAACATATGCTGATAAAAAATAAAGAAGTTATGCTCTCAAACAATTAGATATCTCTACTGTTTTAAGATTACAAAGAGGAGGCTAATAACAAATTTCAAAGCAATAGTATTTAAATACTTAAAACAAAAGCTTTTGAAGATTACTCTATATTATAAAATGTACATATATATCATGTAGTTAAAGTATAATGATTAATAGCATACTGCAAATGTATTAACATTCTTATCTAGATCATTCTTTAAAAAATTATTTTATCTAAAATAGTAAGTAGCTGCCATTATTCGACTAATGTTCATATTTATTCTCTCCTCAATATATATATTTTATTATCATTTTATTCCCCTCATGTAATTCTTATAATGCACTTTTTCACTAGTTCATCTATTAAATTTATTTTACTTTATATCCATAGATTATAAATAATATGAATAACTAGGATTAAGTAAGCTTTAACTAATAAGATTTAGTCCATAATGGTTGATCAAGAATTTAATGATAAGAATCTATTTAGTCATTATCAAAAAATGAGAAAAACTAATGCTAAATTAAATCCTAATATTCACCTTTAGGACTATTAACTTAATACTATCAATAGATATCATATAGGATACCTAGACCAACCACATATTAAATCTAGTAAAATTATAATCTCTAATTAATACGAGCTCAAAACATTTCAATCAATAAGCTTCAATTACAGAAGTGCAACTTGCAGAAGCCACTCAGTAAAGAACTCGAGAAAACTAAAGAACTTCTCAACCGAAACTCAACAGTCCTAGATTTAAACTCCAAAAACATGTTTCTCCAGAGGCAGTCAGGTTTAGGAAAGCTTAAACCAATTACACAAAAGGAAATACTAGTAAATCCAATCTCATAGACATAAAGATTAATTACTAAAAAAGCAAATGAAACCCCTGTTATTGATGTACGCAATAACAATTACACAGAACAGAAGCCAGCCTCTTTTCGTTATAATGATATGCAATTGAGTCAATATTTGGAAGAATTTAAATTGCTCAAGTAAGAAACTCTAATAACAGTGATTTAACCTCATGTCTAATAGAAAATAAATAGAAATTCATACAATTACACTTAAACATCAAACAGATAATAAACAATTAATCATTATTATCATAGTATAGTCCCAAAAAGTAAAGTAAAACAAAGATAAACTAATAATGATTCCTAAAAACAGAACCTAACTCTAAGTGGATGGAGTGATTATTCAAATAAATGATTTATTTTATTAATTTTAAGTATAAATTTGCTGATTTTAATATATAATTCAGAGTTGAAGATAAAATCACTATGAGAATTTGTTAATTAAGATTTAAGATTCCACTGTCATAACCTTCTTGAAATGTACTAACACTAATCTATAGACTAAGAGAAATAATCATTCATCATGGGCTATTGAGATATATTAAAAATAATAAAATTTATACTATGGGATTTGAAGATTAGATTCCGCCTATTCCAAATTAAGATCAAGAGAAGAGATATATCGCCACGGTGGAAAAGTCCTTCTATGATCAACCTCTCTATAAATTTTATATAAATGAAGCACTAAGTGAAAGAAAGATGCATTATGCTGATAAATTGAACACGTTTAAGTATGAATGGATTCTCAATTTCGCTGCATCCGGCATAGTTTTTAGCTTATTCTACGTAACAATCTTTATATTTGATTAGTTTATTCCTGTTTCCTATTTTTACAGACAAACTACTACTTGAGTTCCAACATAATATTAGTATTTTTTAGATGTTTTCTCTTTAGACCTAAGAACAAGGCTGTTTTCAAGTAAGGATACTTACAAAATCAAATTGGAAAAGATTCAAGTGATATTCATTCTTAGTTTTTGGATCAGCATTTATTTTTGCTCACACTTATACGGACAGATCGCAAATTCATGATGAATATTACAATAATGTAGGTGTCATTAAGCCGAAATATGAATGAGATAAATAAGAATAACAAAATTATAATACTAAAGTGTCTAATCTATGATCAGCATTATCACTCATTTATACTGAATGGACAGATTTTCAATTAATAATAGATCAAACTGCATAAATTAATCAAATATTTATAATAAATAATATTACATCAATTAATTAATGTTCACCTAGTCAGTGTGGAAAATTTCTAATGGAAAATCAACCCCTTAGATCAAATTAGTTAGAACTGTACCCGATTTATCTACTCCTTAAAATAAAGTGAAAAGTACTCCGAAAATAAGAACTAGCAGAATACATTGGAAAGTAGAGCAAAAACTTTAAGAATTCATGCCATCGGATTCAGATTAAAGAATTCATGATTTGATACTTAATTCTTTATAATACATGCCAAAAGAAATAATAAACTCTATAAATTTACAGCATTATCAGAATAGTTATTAATTTCATCATCGTATCACATAACAGGAATTAGAATACCAATTAATTAGTTCACTTGAATAAATAAGTTAAGAAATAATAGAACCCTTGTTTTAAAAAGATGATTCAAATATTCTAGGAGTAGCTGATGATTTGAATCCCTACAAGAAATATAATATCACAGCAATTCCGAAATTGATAGAAATAGTTAATGGAGACATAGAGAGCATCATTAAATTCTTAATCCCCCAAAATAAGAAATTATCTTAATGTATAGAGTATATCTGGAAATATTGTGTTTTTATGCTGGATTTAACAATGTAGTTCAGTTTGGATAGAAGTAACAAATATATTATTGAATAAGTGACAAAATTATAAAAAAAGTTATCAAATGCAAAAACATAAGTACATAATTTTGAAAATAGAGTAGTAAAAATGACCTAAGAGTTTGAGACAGCAATTATGAAGGAAAAATAAAGGTATTATGAATTATAAGCTAATTATGAGAAAATATTGGCTAAGGCAACAGAGTTGGAAAGATTAATTAATGAGGATATTAAAACTGAAGGTCGAGATGACTCTTATAAATTAAAAAAAAATGTAAAAGAATTGGAAGCAAATCTAAAGATACTTGAATCTTAGTTTAGTAAACATGAAGAAGAATTTGTTTCGCAATTAACTAATGTAGCGTATGTTGCTAAAAATAAGAGGGAAACATGTTAGGCATAAATTAGAAATAGATTAGCAATGAATGTGATTGCCTAATAACCAGGAGATATGGCATTTAGTTTAATGTTTTCAGATCATCCCTGGGTACCAATATTCTGTGTTCGATAATTAATGCAATACTATGATGAGCCTCCCTATGTTGTTGAGGAAGACAATAAATTAGAATTATTACATAAGGTGCTGATGATGGAGTAGTCTAGGGTAAGTCCATGCCAACAATTAATAGATTATTATTAAAAGTTTCCTGAACTCTATAAGAATATCATCACTATTCTTGAACCTTTTGAAGAGGCAACATAAGCTGCAGTGCAATTAAATAATTTATGTTCTATTTTTTTTAATATTCAGGGAGTAGAAACAATAGAGATCTATTATATCAATCAAATAAAAAGGATTTATTAGGAATTTTATGCTTAGATCTTGAATGTGCAATAACATTCAAAAAATCCAGAATAAATTAAATTATAAATTGAAATGGAGGATGAAAATTTGAAACATAAAATTGTTAAGTTAAATTTAAATTATGGAAAATCCACTTTGATGTTCAGTATAAGCAAACCATTTTTAGAAACATATTTCTCTTAATTTCAAATTTAGGCTCAATTATAATAAATCTTTGATACTAGAAAGGATATAACTATGTTACATTTATTATCTATTTATGCAACAGAATTGTCAAAACAATCTAAGACTTTATTTGAGAATAAATTACAGAATTTTAATGTGCCTGATGTTGATTCACTAGGTAAGTACATTGCTTATGAAATATTCCCAGAATTTAAGTTAGACCCAAATCTTGTATAATCCTACATAATCCATAGGTATTATTATTTATAAGAACAATAAATCAAGTTTAACAAAGAGTATTTGTATAGAAACTAATCGACAACTTCAAACTAAATTTTAGATAGAGAATCAATAATAAATGGGGTCAAATAGCTTAGATAATCACTCTTATTTAATCCTATGCTATTGATTTCACATAACATAGTGGCACCTTCACAATCATCAAAACAACCTAGAAGACAATCTTCTGTTTAATAATGAATTATAAATATTATAATTTCTTTAAATAATTTAAATATTCCAGCAATATAATGTATCGTCTATGATGGAAGGTAGAAATGGACTTAATAAATTACAGAAATAATAATGCTAAATTATTTAATAACAAATAAATAGTGTATTAGTAAATGAGAATGAGATATAAAAATAGAAAAAAGAAGATGTTGATTAGTAAAGTTAGTAAATAAATAAGCCAACTTAGGAAGAAAAGAATGGCTGATATTTTATATAGTTATTATATCTAAACTTATATGAATAATAAATTACATAATATATATTAAATAATTTAAAAATGTCTGTCACTTTGCATACTAGTCATGGAGATATTAAGTTGGAATTATTTTGTGAATTAACCCCAAAAACTTGTAAAAACTTTCTAGCATTGTGTGCTAAGAAATTTTATGATAATACAATTTTTCATAGAAACATTCCAGGATTTATCATTTAAGGAGGTGATCCAACAGGTAATTATAAAAATATTCAATATTTTAGGTACTGGTAAGGGAGGGGAATGTATTTATGGAAAATATTTTGAAGATGAAATTGTTCCAGAAATTAAACATGATAGACGCGGAATAGTTTCAATGGCAAATGCAGGAAAAGATACCAACTAATCACAATTTTTTATTACCTATTCAAAGCAGAATCACTTGAATGGTCTATATACTGCTTTTGGCAAAGTTATCTATGGATGGGAGGCCCTGGATTTAATGGAGAAGGAAACAGTAGATAATAATTACAAAGCACTGAATGAGATCAAAATTTTCAAAACAACCATACATGCAAATCCAATAGCAGACATCGAATAATTTTGAACAAATTTAGATATATCATTATTGGTAATCTGAAACAGATGGACATTAACATATAAGATTTCTATCTCCAAAAGCATTATTAATTCTGCTCACTGTTGGCCATACCTTGCCTCTTTGAAGGACATAAGGCAATGGGAAGGCAGCTTCTTCTCTAGAGTATTTATGACTCCAACCACTATTGATTACTTAATCCTAAGTGTGAGGAGCATTTTTCAATGGATTATCATTTTTATCATACTATCCATTTTTGACCTTCTCAATTTCTAATTTAATGTTCTTCATAGCTTCAATGAATCTATCTAATTCTGACCTATTAATTAATATAAAATTATACTTAGATTCACTTTCAGTGGGTTCAATCATAAGTGTTCCTGGGACTGGGAATGACATAGTAGGAGCATGGAATCCATAATCCATAAGTCTTTTTGCAATGTCTTCTTCGGTGATTCCACTTTCTTATTTGATAGGTCTGATATCAATAATGAATTCATGAGCACACATTCCATTCTATCCAGTAAATAAAACTTTGTAATCATCTTTTAAACTCTTCATTAAGTAATTAGCATTTAACATAGCCATAGCTGTGCATTTCTTTGCGCCTTGTCTTCCTAGTTGTCCAAAATAACTATATGGGATTGGGAGTATTGATGCAGAACTAAATAAGGATGAAGCTACACTTCCTAAGGAATGTTCTCTGCCTGGAAGATATGGTGCCAATTTCTTATTAACAGCAATAGGACCTAATCCAGGACCACCTCCTCCATGTGGGATGGAGAATGTCTTATGGAGATTCAAGTGGCAAACATCAGCTCCCAAATATCCAGGAGATGTGTATCCAACCTAGGCATTCATATTGGCTCCATCCATATACACTAATCCTCCATGCTCATGAATCAATTAAATAATCTTCTTTGTTTGATCTTCATAGACTCCATAAGTTGATGGATATGTAATCATAATGCATGCCAAAGACTTTTCATTTTCTTTGATTTTCTTATTCAAATCATTCAAATCAACATAACCGTCTACCACATTAACTGGTACAACAGTTAATCCAGCAAGAACAGCTGAAGCAGGATTAGTACCATGAGCAGATATTGGAATTAAACAAATATTTCTATCTTTTTGTCCATTCATGATGTGATATTTTCTGATGCATAATAAACCTGTGTATTCTCCTTAGGCACCACTGTTAGGCATTAAGGACACAGCTTCCAATTGTGTAATATCGCATAACCATTTTTCAACATTTTCTGTCAATTCTTAATAGCCTTAAGTACAAGACAAAGGGGAAAATGGATGCAATTGGGAGAATCCTTAGAATGAGACAGGCAACATGAAAGAGGTTGGATTCAATTTCATAGTACAACTACCTAATGAAATCATAGACTTAGTTAATGAGACATCTTTTTATCTTAAATAGTTGATGTATCTCAACATTTCAGTTTCACTATGTAATGAATTGAACACCTTCTATTACAAAAAGGGTGCTCTTTCAGATTTATATGGAATTACTTTCTGAATGACTGACATAAAATCTGCCTTTTTCTTTGTGTAATGTTGAAGATGGTTGAATAGATCTTCTACATCTTAGACAGTGTGAGTCTCATCAAAACTAAAGATGGTATCTTATCCAATTTTCCTGACATTAGTTTAGGCATTATAATGCAAATACTCTTACAAGGTTTCTGTATTGTGTAATACTACTGTATCAAAGATCCTTCCTTCCTTAACAACTAATCCCAGACTTTTTGCCAATTTAGCAAAGCTTCTAGCCAAACAATTGACTCTATTTGCTATCTTCTGTAATCCCTATGGACCATGGTAAGTTGCATAAAAGCCAGCCATATTAGCCAATAATGCTTGAGCTGTACAGATATTGGAGGTGGCCTTTTCTCTTCTGATGTGTTATTCTCTGGTTTGCAATGACATTCTATAGGCTGATTTTCCATTGGCATCCTTGGAAATACCAATGATACGTCCTGGCATTTTTCTTTTGAATTCGTCTTCAACTGCAAAGAAAGCAGCGTGTGGTCCACCAAAACCCATAGGTACACCAAATCTTTATGAATTTCCATATGTAACATTTGCTCCTTAATCTTTGGGTGTTTTGTTGATAGCCAAACTCAGTAAGTCTGTTCCAATGACTTTTAAGAGTTTGGCATCTTTGAGTGTGTGCTTGAAAAGATCACTCCAGTCATGGACTTCTCCTAGATTATCTGGTGATTGCACCAAAACTCCACAATATTGATCGGCATCTTTGAAGTCATAAGTTTTGGCATCTCCAACAACGATATCAATTCCTAAATAATAAGCTTTGGTCTTGATATGGTCAATGCTCTATGGAAATACATGGTTGTCTACAAAGAATTTCTTCTTCTCAAACCAAGAATTTGCCAAGAACATTGCTTCTCCTGCAGCAGTAGCTTCATCCAATAATGAGGCATTAGATACATCCATACCAGTTAATTCAGTGATCACTGTCTGATAGTTGAGGAGTGCCTCAAGTCTCCCCTAAGAAATCTCAGCTTAATAGGGAGTATAGGATGTATACCATCCTGGGTCTTCAAGTACGTTCCTCAAGATGACATATGGTGTGTGAGTACCATAAAAGCCTTGGCCTATATAGTTTTTGTAAAGCTTGTTCTTATTGGCTAACGATTGGAGATGTTAGACCATGGCTGATTCTGGGATGGCATCAGGAAAATTGTCTGGACTTTAAAAGGCTGCCTCGCTGCGGATTTCTTTGGGGATTATTTTATCCACAAGCTCGTCTAGTGATTTGGCTTCCACGGCTTTCAACATCTCATTCACCTATTGTGACTCGGAGCCTATAAAGCGTGGTTCCTATATTTCAACAGAAGGTATACCATGTAGTCACTTGACTTGAACCAGTCTGGGACCTTGGGATTCACTTCATGAGGATTGGCCAACCTGCTGAAATTAGCCACACGTTGTATTAATCTTATGGATCTAAGCATTAAATATTTAAAAATGACGCAGTACTCTTCCCTGTATTTATTTATATATATATATATTCAAAAACTGTTATAATGCATTAGAGAGTAATAACAAATGAGAGTCCATATCACAGATAAATTTACATGCGACCTCGTCTCTAATCTCAAGACCCAGGTCGTAGGGTCTTGACAGAAAATGATACCAAGACTAACATTTCAAGGAAACTTACGAAATTCGACTTTGATTCTGTGCTAACTATTAGAACAAGCAAGGGGAGCAAAAAGTTTAAGCCACAACGCTTTGAAGTCAAACCAATAGTAAGGTATTTAAGCAAAGTTTAGAAAACTGAAGTCGACTCGGAGTTGGAGACCTATCAAAGAATGGTTCTGGCTAAAATGAAGGAGAAGAATATTCTACCAAAACAACGTTCGTTAAGCAATGCTACTCCACAACAAAAGAGCTAGGATCGTTATGCTTCCTTAGATTCACAAAATAGAATAAACAAATAATAAAATCAGAATGTGCATCCTAAGATTTTGTGGGATATGTCCGAAGATGAATGGTAATAATTCGGGGATCGATTCCCTCAACATTTTGAAAAGAAGAAGTTGCTTGGCAGAGGAGGCTTTTCATTGGTATGGTTAGGAGAACATAAAAGAACCAAAGAAAAATTTGCCATCAAATAGATCCTCTCTACTAACACTCATCAATCCCATATGAAGGAAATCTGGTTTGGCATTCATTTCTTCTAAGATGGCCAGCCTAAAAAGCAATTCTCCAATTTTCCAGGTTGCAAAAATTTAGTACGCTTCTTGACTTACGACATCAAACCTCAAGACACTTGGATCTTCTAAGAAATCTGTGGTGAAAGTCTTGGAAATCATCTTTATGATCTCAAAGGAAAAAATGTTAATAACGAACGCATGTACAGGGTATTTATCCACCTCATTCTATTTTAGTTAACACTCAAACCTCTCTATAACACTTTCAGAAAAGATTTAACAGAACTCAAAAAACTCATCCGAGAATTAGCCTAGGCTCTTGATCTATTACAGGATTAAAGAATAGTTCATTCTGATCTTAAGACTGAAAACATTCTTGTTAAGAAAATCAAAAATGAGAACGATTTACATGAACTAACCTAAATTAAATTGATCGATTATGGCAGCAGTTTCCCTTTTGATGATTTGAAATAGTTTTCCATGGCCACACCAGAGTAACTCATTTATTATATTCTAGATATATGTGTCCAGAAATACTCAACTATATCTTATATGAAAATTAGATGAATTACCGTCCTTGTTTAATGAAATACCTAAAAAATTACAAGAAACCTTGGGTCATTGATGTTTGGTCTCTTGGTTGTGTGGTACTTGAGATCATCTCAGGAATCCCACTCTGGATGAGTCTTAAAACTATTGTCACCAAAAATGGAAAAGAAATTATCGATTATGGATTATTTGCTGTTAAGGGTAGAGTTTTTGATAAGATTATTGATCGTCAGATGGAAGTTATTTAAAATTTAGATAGTTATATTGATAAAAATTATTCTGGTATAATATAATAAAATAATCAATTAGGTATTAAAATAGATAATTAAATACGATTTGTCTTGAAAGAAATGTTAAATTTGGATCCAGAGAAAAGGTTATCCCCAAAGCAAATAGTTGAATACTTATCCACAAGGAAGGAATACCTTACAACTCATTGATTTATACTATTAATAATTCAAAATCCTTCATCTCATTTTAGAATATTATTTTGGTGGTATTGAATTTTTTAATTATTTTTTAATGAACTCAATATCCACTAACGCATCCTTTACAGATATTCGAGTTGTTAAAATATACTTTAAGATTCATTACAATGCGGAATATGGATAAGCAATTTACTTATGTGGAGACGATGAACGATTGGGAATTTGGGATTCTACTAAAGCAATTAGACTCTAATGGAATCAGGTATAGTATTGAAGCTCAAAAAGAATAATGAATGGACAACCTGTCTAAAATTGCCCAGAATTTGCAAAACTTTTGAATATAAATTCCTTTTGAATGATTATAATAATCCATCTCCCTAAAAAGAATTATGGGAACCAGGGGAAAATCGCATAATTACAAAGCATTTATTATTGAATGGCAAGAAAGGGGAGTACTTTAATTGTAATAGTTATTTAAATGATTATAGAGGAGTATTGGGGATTTCGAACAATTAAATTGAAACTTAATCACAATTTATAGCCTGGAGAACGGATGATGATTATAGGTTCAATCCCAGAGATTGGGTCTTGGAAAACACCTGTTTTAATGAAGTAACAATAGAAGATTGATATATGTATAACTCAATTCATAATTCTGATATAGTAACATAAGAGCCTATTCAACAATGGTCCATTTCATTCATTGTAAATCCTCTAAACTTTTATTTCCGATACTATTACGTGATTCGTAACGATGAGTCTGGCAACATGATTTGGGAGAGAGGGAATGGCCGTTACCTTAAAACTGCTGATCTTTCTTCAATCAGATAAGTCCTTGACCAATTTGCACTCCATCCTATCAAAGTCAAAACTCAAATCTATACAGCTTTTGAGTCAAGGACACAAAAGAGGAACGGCTCATTTTAGGCAACTAAGATACCAAAATCAAAGATGAAACTCAATAATTAGGGATATTAATTTGCAGACAAGGAGCCTTCATTCTTTTATTATGAAGAGTTTGGGAGGTTGAATAAATTGGATTGGAATTTTGTAGTTCAATTCTAAACGTATGAAATCAATGAAAACATCATGATTGGTCCTTATCCTCAAAATGAATAGGACATCCTAATGTTGAAATAGAAATAGGTGAAGGCAGTTCTCAACCTATAAACTCGGCTAGACATGTTTCATAGGGGAGTGAACTGGGAGTAGATTGTGGATGCTTATAAGCGTTAGAAAATAGTGATGAAAAACTATTAGATCTTTGATATGGATGCAGAGGATTTTGAAAAAAAATCAAATAAGGCTGTGTAAATTCTAAGGAAGTTAATTAATGAATATGAATATGTTTATGTCCATTGTACTGCTGGGATATGGAGGGCTCCTTCGATAGTAGTACTGTACTTGAGTTCAATTCTGAAGTATGATTTAAAAGAAGCAATCGAATTAGTTAAATAAAAAAGATAATAGTTTTATGTCAATTATTGTATGTAGATGTGAGTTATATTGATAGCAATGCTAAAGAGATCATTGTAGAAGACACTTGTATTCAACCATGGATTGGGGTATTAGAATTTGGCATCGACTTTATGAGGGATGGAATAATAAATTATATATATAATTAGTTATAATTTTACATAATTTCAAACTTGACTTTTCAGTCAAGTGATATTTCAATTAGGTCTGAGAAATTTATTATTCAATAATAGCTTGCAAAATTTATAAATCTGAATGTATTTAAATTTCATTTAATTAATAATGATAGATATGGAGATTATACACTCTTTTTAATGTTTAATCTCTTTCCAACAATCAGATCAATACTCAAATTAAGCAAGGTTGTAATTCACATAAAATAAAATAAACCTACTTTTGAATACACAATGCTATGAAATAGATATATCCTTAAAACTAATGTTAAAGTGGAAATGTCAGGAGAACAAACTGATCTCATTGCATTTTCAATAAATTAATATTTAGGCTGGAAATGAGGACCTTCTTATTCTTAAGAAACATTTGGATTGCAAAGCAACGTATGTCGGTATTCGAGAAATTTATGATAATGTTATAATTATATAACAATCAGGAATAGCTAAAGTATGAGCGAATGTAATATTTTAGACATGCACACTTAAGAGTAAATTGGATGAGAAAATGTACTTTTGTAAGTGTTATAAAAAATAACAAGTTGAAAAGTATAAAATCTACGAGCAATTATTTATTTTGCGTAAATTAGTCGATTTCAAGAATGTTGCTCGGATAATAGATTTCTTCGAGTCATCTAATTCATATTATTTGATTTTTGAAGAGATGAGTAGGGTACATTACCATGGTTTGAGTCATGAAGACATATAATCGATGATGTTTGTATATTAAATTATATATTAGGATATTTTATGCTGTATTAAAGTGTTAATATCGAATAGGATTTTTCATTCGCAAATAACTTTATAGAATATTTTGATAGACAAAGAGTAAAATTGCAGACTCATTGGATTTGATCATGCAGAGTAGCTAACCGAAGAGAATGCTATCTTAAATTCCTTGATGTTGAATATGGCTGGGAATGCCATGATCAAATTGTATGATTTAATAACTGAATTAGATATCAGTACAATTCTGTAAGTAAGGATTCAATGTCGATTCCTGATTATGGGAACTCTCTTGTGTAGGGTTTGATACAGACTAAATTGGATCAATAGATCAATATTGAGTAAGCTTTGAGTCATGAATACTTTGAATATTTTGATTACAATTCCAGTCCAATGAAGCAATAGCAGATTGTCCCAAAATTGAAATCATTCATAACTCAGCAATCTCTTTCATCGTAAATTGATAGTAACATTTGATTTTATATTTACTTTTTATAATTTAATCTTACTTATAAATGGAATGGAATAATAACAAAAGAATTGAAACTCCAATGGAAGGGGGAGGTGGTTAAGCTATAAGATTATTTGTAACAATCAGAAAGGATTCAGAGTCGAATGTAGAGTATAAAAAGATGACAGTGATGGCACCATGTATATTCTTTTAAATTATCAGTGAGCATCAAGATTTCGATGTTAAAGAGACACATTGAAAGAGAATTTGCTGATCTCTTTCCACATGAACCTACCTTTGTTTGTGCCAAATTAGAAGATGAATTCGGTTATAGTTTATCCAATGCTTCCATGGTTAGTGAATTGTTAAAGAATTCTGATAGATTGTCAGCAATTCCAGAATCATTTACGAAAGACTTGATTGGTAAGATGCATGTGACTCATGATTTGAACGAATTAACATTCATGTTGAAAAGCATCACTTAAACAATCATCGCAAAACTAGCTGGTATTTTATATGATTAACACCATAGAGGCTGAATTAGGACCTCCAGAAACGTAAATGGATATTATGCAATTGATAATCCCTGTGGGTTTCTCCTTATAACAGAAGGCAATAAATCACAACACAGCCCTGACGTTAAAAAGAATATTTGAAAACGAGAGATTGCAATTCCTAGATGATCAATCATATGCACTCATCTCTCAATTGCTAGTTAAGTTACTCCAGTTTTGGACCAACGATTTAATCTTTCAAGATCAGTTTCTTCTCAATTTAACTGTAGACCTATTAGAAATACTCACCAAAAGTGGTATCCATATTTCAAATCTCTAATCTAGCTGCCTTCTCCACTTCCTATAAAACTCCACAAATTGTAAACAGTCTTATGTCTGTCTCCAAATTGGATTTCGTCAGTGCTCAAACAAGATCTAGAATCATCAAACTCATCTCATTTCTATCCAGACCACAATTCACCAACTGTTACCAACCCAGATCCTATGATGGTCCTTTATAACTTAATTTACCACCCCAACCAAGAAGAAGAAATGAAGAGTATGTCCCTTCCATACTTGAATAACCAAATAGAAATTCAAATAGAAGGCAAGGAAGTGCTGGAATCAGAAATTAGAATGGCTTCGAATAACAACAATAAGATTTTAATCAATATCCTTATAAATAAAATGACTCCAATTAATATCCTTATAGGCAAAATGATTCAAACCAATATGGATTCAAATAAAATGAATCAAACCAATATTAGCAATCCAATATGCCCAAACTGCCTCCAACTCCTTAATAATTTGGATACTAGTCCTAACCTTTGCAATCCAATTATCCACCGCCTCAACAGAATCCTGTTTATTCCAAACCTCAATTGAATATTAACAATAGACCTCAAAGCAATAGAAATCCCAATCAATATGGGGGAACTATGCAATAGTAGGTCTTCGATGGATTGGTCTAAGATTATCTGAATTTGATTTCTACAGAATCTAACGAAGAAATGTTGCAATTTGCTATTCAAAATTTGAGTGATGGAATCGATACAACCATACACTAAATTATGGATAATCCAGAAGCATTTTAAAAGATTGTCAATTTATTAGAAATAGCCATGAGTCCCAACTATTTGGGTATGTAGTTAAGAGTCTTAGAAGCATTATCTAAAAACATGAATCAAGAAAGAGCCAAAGAAGGTCTTAAATTAAAACTAATACCTAGAATCATGAAAGCATTCACCTATTAACCTAAAGAATTTTAAGCAATACTCTATGATATGTTATCAGCCACTCTTAAATTATCAGATTTTTAAGTTGATGTTCTCACTGTTATAACCATGATTGAATCAGCCTATCCGAGAATTTAAATGTTGGGAATCAAAATACTGTCATTAATGTCTGACCCACAGAGACTCTAAAATACTAATAATGTATCAATCTAATTTGAAAATTATATCAAAAGCCTTATGGATTGGACTCTGGATGGATAGAAGGGAGAGGAGTTTTAATACAATGCCCTATAAACATTATCAAATTTGGCTATTAATGACTACATTAGACCATAAATACTACATCTTAAGGGAATTGAATTCTTCTTGAAGGTCTTGAGAGAAAGCTACAGAGTTGATGCTCAAAGATTGGCTGCCAAAGGATTATTGAATTTATCAATAAAATCAAGAGAAACTAAATTATCAATTGTCTCCTTGATGGAAGAGGAAATCCAACGATTACAAAGAGGAGAGATGGATACTGTAGTCTAAGGATACTTGACTACCTTGTTAACTACAAGAGAGAGAGGATAGTTGTTATGATTTATATTCACACAATAACTAAATATTTTTTTGGTATTCCAAGATCAAATAAATTGGTTTGAATTTCTTCTTCAAATTGAGGACTTCCGCAAACGTACACTTTTGTGGGTTTGAATTTTAAGTGTTCCTTCATATATTTAAGATTGAAATATGATTCAACCATATAATTTGCCAACTCCTCTGGAATATTGCTACGGTCCTTGATCATAATCTTAATATCAAAAAAGTCTAATTAAAAGGTTTTACAAATAAACAGCAAATCCTAAATAATTGGAAGTCCATAAAGATGAGCAATATCGCTAAAAGCTGCATGAATTATTAACTAGAAGTCTGGACCTAAAGTAGTCAGATATTCTTCATTGTTATCATTTATGCAATCAGCTACTTCCTTGCTTCTTTGATCATGTAGAATCGTATAGATAGCTTTTTTTAGAAGGTAATCTATAAGATCAAGGAATGGCAAAATTCCAGTGCCTTGAACAAATGCATAATGAATTCCATCAGAGAGAGCATCTAATTCCAAACCAAAGCCATAGGGTCCTGTTATTTCATATGGTTTGTGACCTGTGCCATGAAGGAATCGACTCATGTTGTTAGAGAAATCACATCTCTTCACAACAAAATTAATTTCATCAGACAAGGTGGCCTATTGCTAAGGGGAGAAGGGTTAAAAATCCTATTCAATGACTTAAGATTTGAAAAAGTCTAGTAGTTGTTGTCTCTTGAGGATGGCAGAATGAGTGTATGACATGACAATTGAGTAAGGTCTTTCTGCCAGTTTGATACCAGTTCCAAATGGTTTAATATAGAAGTATCGACCAAACCATTAAACGCCTTTCAAAAATTGGCGAACCTAAAAGAAGTGACTTTTGAATATGAATAAGCCAACATCTTAGGCAAATGGGATGTATTGTTCAAATTTCCATACATATTTATCAATTTGAGACGTATTTTCCTCATAATATAAGAGTGGACAATTGTCATTTCTATAATCTCCTAAGTATCTAGTTTCAATGTAATTGATTGCAAATTAAGTATGTATGTGCATTTTGATATTTAAATTTTAAATTGGGAATCCTCCATAAAAGTATCGACCAATTTCCCTTCCAGTAATCCTCTCTAGGATATACTAACCTCCTGGATGGTTAAAGTCACTGACATCATAAATGGCTTCTCTGAGAATGATGTAATTTAATTTCTAATATTCTTTAACTAATTGATTTCTTGGAACTAATTGATATATTACTCATGATTATTACCATTCTAATTGATTTTGTCAATCAAATTTTCATAGATCTGATTCTTGTCTAATTCTACATACTGATAGGTGATTCTGTGCCTTGGTATTATGGACACTTCATAGTAGTAGAGTATTTCGATTGACATTTTGGTAAAGAAGAGAAATACGTAGAAGTAATAGAAGGGAATTCTAAATTGAATGATTTGAATGTTACAATAAATCTGGCCTTTGAATATGTACTCCCATGGCTACCTAAGCTTTGGTAACAAAATATATGAAGTAACCAAGATAGAAGTGTATTCTCTTCACTTTATAGATTTTATTGGATCCATTCAAAGATTCTAGATTGTTTTTGACAATCATGCCCATCATCAATTGAAGCAACAGAAAACTCAGTATCAAGACTCCGACTATAAAATGAGCTATAACCAACCCATCATAATAATAGATTTCTTGGATCTTCAACTTATCTGGAATATTATAAATATAAAGTACTGTATTCGATTTTACTGAAAGCAAAGATATAGGTCACAATGCTCTAGAATAGGAATATCATTCCGTGAACTTTAGCATATTTTGGATAGCTCTTTAATTATCTACCAAAGAAGATTCCAATATCTGACATGAAACTCCAAAAGATAAAGAGGAAAATAGAATGTCCTTCGTCTGTAAATTGTTCGTATTTCTCTGCCTCACTATCTAAGTTATACAAATCCACAGTGACTACTCCTCTATTATAATTTCTATAGACCAATCCTTCCTTATCATAGACTATGAGATATCCAATATCAACAAATTGGTAACTAAATTGATAATCCTCGTTATCATCTGTATGAATGGCTCTAGTGATTTTGATTCTAATTGTTTCATTTATTATGGCATATCCCAAAATGTGCCAACTTTAATATCCTCCCTTTTATTCGTCCCAAATAAATGCGGTTGCAGATGCTCCAATGTTGTCATTAACATACAAATCATCATAGGTTTGTGCCCAACTGAAGAAAATGATGTCTTTGCCGGTAATGTCATATTCATCATAAGTTTTATTGATTTCATTCATTTTTGTGTAATTAAACACAATGGCAAATCTCTAGCATAATTGCAATTCGAATAACAGAGTAATGTTATTAGCATCTAATTAATAGTACATGGAAAGATTGTTTGTAAATGTCACAAAGTTATCTAGTTCTGTTAGATTTCCTGGACAGGGTTCCCCATTGCAAGTAAATCTGGAACTGTCTGTAAAACAATCGAATGAGTCTATGCAGGCATATACAATTGGTAGAATGAAAATCACAATATTCATAAAATTATTATTTAAACAATTTATAATTCATTTCATTTTCAACAAGTTTCTTATTGCCTCTGAATTGATCGAATTGTTATATCCACTCTTATTCACACTACTGCTATTGTGTTTCGTCTGACTCCTGCTTGGTTGAATATTAACGATTTCTGCTAGTGTCTACCGTCCTTTCATCATATACTAACTAATCTATATGTTATTTGATCGTTGACTTATCGAGGCCTACTATTGTTACAGCAATTTATTGTATCTCTTAAAGAGTTCATCACATGAACTTCTATGGGAAGCATATCCTCCATGTTGAGAGAAGGAGCATTGTTTCTTTGGAGAACCCTGTCGATACGAAGTAGACCCATCGTGACTCTAATCCTTTTTCTTCGATTCTGATTAACAACTATCATACTTTATTCATACTTAGATTTCCTTAATTTATACACTTCCGATTGGAGTCTCTTGACTTCAGAATTGGCCTCCTCCAACTTAGATTAAAGACCATCTTAATATAACTTCATCTGCTATTCTAACTAAAATTAAAAATGTCTTCATACACTTATGTGATTACGTATGTCTGCTTCCTATTATTACAATACGGATTCCAACTTTTTGTATTCAAGATTACTGTTCTTCAGTTATCGAAACAACTTGCTGATTCGCTGTATTAGATCTTGACAATCACAGTACTCGATCCCAGATATCTTCTCATTACTAAATATCATCATCTGATTTAATTATTTAAACTCTCAATACTTCCTCCAAAAGATTGCGCAATCCTGATTCGACTTCCTATTTCTCTTGTCTGTTCATTTAACGAAATTAATTAAACTAAATCCAATTATTTTTTAAAATGGACGAAGAAGACTGTACTATTTTCATTGAAGAACTCAAAAGTGATGATCCCAATCTCAAACTCAATGCTGTATCCAAAATAGTATCCATTGCACAAATCCTCGGACCTTCAAGGACTTGCCAAGAACTCATCCCTTATTTAATTGATATCATAGAAGAATAGGACAATGAAGACGAATTCCTAATCAAATTAGCCAAGGAATTAGTCAATCTCAAACCTTTCACAGGGGCCAATGTTCATTTGCTTAATGCGCCACTTGAAATTCTAAGTTCCATGGAAGAGCCATTGGTGAGAGATAAAGCAGTCGAATCCTTAATCTTGCTAGCAGAAGGAATGCCAAACAGTAATCCCTCCCTTTCAATTCATTTTTAGGTTTTTTTGAAAATCACTTTTTTTAAATTGTCCAATAACTCGGCCAATGGGACAACTTTCCTTCCAGAATATCTGCAGCCAGTCTCCTCCCACTCACTTACAAACATGTCTCAAATGAAAAATAGAGCACTCTTTGGGACTTATTCAAATAACTATGTGGAGATGATACACCTATGGTCAGAAGAGTTTGTGCTGGAGTCTTGTCAGATCTTGCCAAAATGAAATGCTAACCACAACAATTGTTACAATTATGGGAAGCACTCCTCAAAGATCCCATCGACAGTGTCAAAATCAAAGCAATCGAAGGGTCACAATATATGCTCAAATTAATTGATGACGAACATGATTTAGAAACTCAACTGCAAGGCTACTTCGCATTGGCTGATCCCAATGAAAAAAGCTGGCGAGTCAGATACACCGTTCCAGAGTGTTTGGAAAGTATAATTGACATCATTGTCAAACTAAGTAACAATACTTTTTCAAATTATTAGATAAAAATAAAACTATTCTAAAAAATCAAGCAGTTCCTGTCTTCTAATAATTACTCAAAGACACAGAACCTGAAGTCAGATCCATGGCACTTATATCGATCTATCATTTATTAAAAGAATTACCCTCCTCCAGCAAAGATTTATTCCTACCATTATTCTAAACTCTATCCACAGACACCTCGTAACATGTTAGAATGTCTTTGGCTGAACAAATTTGTAAAATTTCGAAATAATACTCTGTTTAAATTGTTTTGCAAAGTTTTATACCCTTGATTACAACATTAATTAAAGACGATGTTGTTGAAATCAAAATCAAACTAGCTCACAATTTGGATCAACTATCTTAAGCAATAGGACAAGACAATTCCAAAAAACATTTGGTTCCTCTTATATCCACTTTTGCTTCAGAGAAACAATGGAGATACAGATTGGAAATGATGTCAATCATACCCAAACTTCTCAAGGTGGCAGGCTATGACAGTTTCTTAGAATTATAGGAGATTTATCTTGAGAAAGGAGTGTTGAATCACTACCAGGCAATTAGGGACTAGGCCATTGATAATCTAGTCTAATTGAGCGAGACCTTTGGATATGATAAGATAAGAGAATTTATTTTAAAATGCATCAATAAACAATTTGAATAACCAAATTATATCTATAGAGTATCTGCTATGCATAGTATGGCCAAATTAAAGAATGTATTATCAAAAGATGATCTAGTAAATTAGTTTAAAGTATTCAATATATCCTATTAAACAAGGAAATTACACAGAAATCTTTGAATGATAAGGTTCCTAATGTTAGATTGAACGTTTTCAAATTATTCACTGCCATTTAAAATAAATTAGACAACAAGGCACAGAATGAATTCAAAAATAAAGCAAGAATTCTACAATAAGATCAGGATATTGACGTTAAATATTTTGCATAAAAAATTTGATTGATTTATATATGTTTCAATATCATAAATTTTGATATATAAATCATTTCTATTATATTTCAGTTTTTGATTCACTCTCAAATGTGTATTAGAATGCAATTGGATTTACGGCAGTAGATATTTTCTTCATATACCCTAAAGTAGTATTTTAAAGAAAATTATCTCCTTTTTGCCCAACAAATGAAGTTGATTTTCTATAGTTCCTATCTGTGCTTTGACAAACCCTCAAGACCTAAGAAGCAGACTTTTCAATTTTCTATCTTTTTGTTCTACTTGTTAGATATATTTTAACATTCTAAAAATATAACTGTAATTCATCCTACTCCCTTTTTGTTGGTATGTACCATCTAAAATGAAATATGGGATTACTTTGGCTGGGAAATATTGCAATTTTTAAAATTGTTGCTGATGGATCCGAATTATCTCACAGACGCTGTTAATTTGTTATATTCATTAAACAGTTCATAGACTTACAGTGCTTATTTTTGATCAAGTTAAGTATAGCACTCCATAAATTGTCGTATGAACCTACAATACTTAAAAAGAGAATTCATAAACCGTACCTTTCAAGCATCAAATACATGGCTATTAGATCGTTCCAGATGAGCAAGTAAATTTCCATTACTACGGTTCTGTTGTGCAATTTAGAAATACTGAGGAATAGCTGAAAATAGTAGAGAATTCATACATCATATTAAGCTAGAATGAAGTTTAGACAATTAATAGCTTTGTAAAATTGAATGACTGAGGTATCGATATCTTTGAAAAAAATCTCAATATTGGTTTTGAATTTGCTCCTATTGCAAATATCCTATATGCTAGCCAGTTTATGGATTATCATAGTTTGAATTCCGATGAACTTGTTTAAGATTTCATCCTTATTAACAGGTGCCCATCCATTGAAACAATTCAATTACTACACAAATAATCTACCATGTTTGACGTCGCCCATTAACACGTGCATCGTGAGGAGAACTTTTAGTTTTTTATGGTTATCTAGTGTTTGTGGGATGAGCCTCAGAAATTCACGACACACTTAAACTAAGGTCATACTTTAAACTAATTAGTCAATTTCAGATAGACAAGGAAACCCTATTTTAATTATATCCAATATACCTTGTAGCATTTATTTTACGTCTTCCAAATCAACAGTTTCTTGATTATCAAATATCGAGGATTCAAACAGTTTCCTCTCGAATCTTGATTGTTTTTTAAAGAAGTTTTTTATAAACATTTTTAATATTTATATATATATTTATTTATTGCAATGTTGGAATAAAGAACTGTTACAGAAACCAGTCAAGATGAGGAAGAGTAAAATAAAAAGAAATTTATCTATTAAACTGAAAAACTTAAACTACTTTTATAAGTACCAATCGAATAAAGAACTCAACCAATCTGTAAAGATATTGCTGAGATTGCCCAAGTAAATCTCCTAAAAATTATATCTACTTTAGTAAATTAAATTCCTCTCCCAATACAAACAAAAACCTGACTTCTTGGAATTATGTAAAAATCTCTATCTCAAAACCTATGAAAAACGATAATATATCTTTAAATAAGGCGATTAAGGTGATGCATTCTATGTAATCTTGAATGGAAGTGTCAAAGTGTACATAGATGAACCGACCGAATTTAAGAATTTCATGCAACTTGTAAGAGTAGTTTGTTTTATATAGAAAGAAATAGCTTAATTGGGTAAAGGTGATGCGTTTGGAGAAATCTCTTTGCTCTATAATTCAAAGAGAACAGCTACAGTAATTGCAAATGAGAGAAGTGACTTAATCGTTTTAGAAAAAGATGCATTTCAAGAATATATGAAAACCATGGATAATACCAATGAAATGAAAACAGTTGCACTCAATAAACTACTTTAATTTTTAGAATCTCTTCCTGTATTCCAAATGTTCAACAAAGATCTACTAGTTTAACTATGTACAAAATGTTAATTGCTAATGTACCCATCCCAGTAAATTCTCTTAAAATAAGGAGTTGAACCAACCTAAATGTATATAATCAAAAGTGGAAGGGTAAAAGCAATCAAAAAAATTAAATGGAACCTGGAAGATTATCCATCTTCATTGATTAGAGGATAAACAACAAGCAGCACTGATTTATTTAACTAAGATGTCTACTTTGAAATTGATGAATTAGGAGATGGTGAGATCTTCGGCGATTTTGCTTTATTAAATGAAGAAGAGTCACAATGCTCTTATATCACTTCTATTCCTTCTGAGATTGTTTCAATTAGTTCATTCAATTTAAAGATGATTGTGCCTTCGGATAGATTGGAAGCGTATCAAAAATAAATTAAATAATATCCTGAAGATGATGATCTCAAATTATTGTATGAAGAGAAGAGGAATTGGAATTAATATAAGAGAAAACTAATTAAGAATATTTATGTTGATAAGCAAAATAAAAAGGGATTTGACAATCGATTGAGACTTCCAGAATTAAAGGGTAAGTAAGCATTGCCTCCCATCAACATTATTGACATAAAAACAAGTGACAATAGAACATACTTCAAATATTTGGAATCCAAGATATCTCCAATGGCTGAATGCAAAAAAAAAGTGTAATCCTTAACTCAGGTTGGATTGAGCATGCAAGGGTTGGTGAAATAATTAGAATAAAGCACAAGTCAATTAAGCATAGCGAATTCTTTTTAGAGAAAATTAAAGAAACTCAACATTAACAGATCTTAATGAAATTAATCAATGTTATAAATCATAAAATGAAAAAGAACTTCCTGGTTATGTTGAATTTATTCTCCTATGGTTTTGTTGTTATTACTGTTTTGGCTAAGATATTTTACGAACAAAATCCTTAGTCCTTTGAGAATAGATTTTATTCTGTGATTGTACATTCTCTTAATCCAAATGCGAGGATTACTGTTACTATGCCTTCTTCTTAGGCTATTATGTACTAATAATAATGATTAAAACTCTTACCATCTTTATGAGTGATATTGATACAAGGATTCATTCTCAATAAGAAAAGATTGGTTGATAGTATGAGCAGTGATAGGAGATAAGGATTATCCCTTATGAGTATTTGGTGTATGAATCTTCATTTGATGCACATCCCATAATACTGATTACTCTAATTCCTCTTAGCTTCTCCTTGTCTATTCTCTTGTATGGAAACTCCTTTTCGTATTCTTTAAGATTGGACTAGTTGGTATTGTGCCAGTAGGTTGAGTATATGCGAATGCTATTTCTCTGAATGCTTTATCTAATTAGCATTACTCAATTTTGAAAACTGCCGATTCCAATAAAAACAATCCTGTTTCCACTCTCTACTCAAAATGTCTCATGTTACTATTTTTACTTCTCCATAACTTAAAGAAGGTCTCTTTTAATGACATTTCATTCTCTCTCTTTGATAAAGTATTTTCCAACAAGGCACTACTTAAGCATTTTGATTTCAATGCATTTTATATTTGCATATTCTATAATTCCAATTCATATTAGTAAATTAATCTTTAAGATTGATCTTATTCTTATTTAGAACAAACGAGTTCATTTCTTAATTGATCAACAAATACACTTTGATTGCTTCTCCATCTATTAAAAAATTTAGACTTCATCTTCTATTGATGCTATTCCACTTTCAATCTTGCGAATTTAAAAAACTCCAAATATTTCTATCTTAAACTATTGATTCCATTTGTTAAAATTAAAGCTATTTTACTCAAATAATGAGTCTACATATTAGATGAGGTTATTAAGAATATCTCATCATTAACCTTCCAAATATGTCGATTCTCAAATTCAATATTCTAATTATTCATTAACTCAGTATTTATATTTAAAGTTAATTAGTAAAGAGTGTTGAATTGCGAGATGTCATCAACGTCTTCAAAATACTCTTATATCAACCCATATTCAGGTAAATAGGAAGTTAATGATAAAATCTCAATATTTAAAATGGAGACTGCTAATTTTTCGCCCATCAACTGAGCTACTTATTATAAATACATCTCTATTGAGTTCTCAGATTGTAATCCTTATAACATAATAATTAAATCATCATTCCCAATTAATTGAGTTATTGCATTACTTTTCAGTCTACATTAGTACTTTTGCAATAACATGAACAGTTAAGTTGTGTAATTCTTTTGATCTTTTTTTACTTATTTTGCTGCTTAGAGTATTAACTTACAAAGATTGTTATTGATACTTCTTGAAAGTTTTGTTGAATAATAATTCTATTTCAATCTCTTAAATCCAAATGATTGAATTAGCCTTTTTAGTTTTCTTAATTGGTTCATAAATTAGGTCATTCTCGAAAAAACCAATTATCTTCTCTATCTTTATTACAGTTAAATAACTTTATTCAGCTTATTTATTCCCAACTCCATTTTACATTGATGATTACTAACATTCAATCCGATATATTGTTAAATTTGCTTACAGTACTAAGAGGGGTAACTCAACGCATAAATTACTTTCTTTTAAAAGTGAGTTACTGGCACAAGAGAAAATTAATCATCAATACTTAATATCTGCTTTTATATTAAGGACTATTTGATTTATCTATAATCCAATTATATGTTGGACTATTAGTTTTTTAGTTAATATGACTAAGATTTTGAGATGTTAAAGCAGTTTAAAGATTCTCCAGTTACAATCCTATAATTGACACAGTATTCATAATATCCACCATCATTGTTCTTTATTTAAGTGTAAAATTACCAAGGATTTTTATATTACAATTCAAACACATTCTTAAAATTAATTGATTACTCAATGGATTTAGGTATCTGTTAGTGAGATGGCAATTACTTAATAAAATTTGAGGATTGTGTTTACAAAGAGCTTCTTTTTGAATTTTATTGAGGTGGAGTTTATTGTTCTAAGGTGGGAATAACAAATTCTTTCACCAATTATTCAACTATTTAAAACATTTATTCTGGTTCATTGTTCTTTTTGATGGATTCTTAATCGATAGAATCGAATAAGGTCACTAATCTTTGTCTATCCTGCTCTTTAGTATTGGAGTTCTCAATTAATGAATTTAATTTTGCGAAAATGGGTTTGAATGTTTAATAGTAATTGAATTATGGAGCTTCTTATTTTTATTTTTTCATCTCCTCCTTGATGGTTTATTAGGGTATTGATATTGAGAGTTTGAGATCCTATTGTCTTTGCTATTTTTCAATCTCATCACGCCTTTTCTAAATGAGGGTTTTCAATTAGCCAAATTCAGTTTGCATTCTTGAACTCACCTTTTCTGTTTCTTACATAGATTTCTCAAAAGACCGATTATGTACAGATTTATCACAATCATTTGAACTAGTATGGAATGAGTGATTGCGTTTTGGACAAATTTCTTTAGGTCTAAGCATTTCGATTTCTCTTTTCTTATTCAATAAATCCCAATCGTAATTAAAAGAAGCATTGAAATTATGCTTTGGAGGTAATTGAGTATTAAGTCTCATTTGAATTTTAAATTATTATTAGTAACAAATATAAAATCATTCCTTTGAACAAAATCAATCTTCGAAAATAAGATGGATTACTAAAATGATATCTATAAAATAATGACTTTTAGAATTCATATCCTGAGTAAATTGTAATTAGGATATCAATTAATAGTACTTTAAGAGATAGCTAAAAAAGTATATTTATAAAATAATAAATCAAAATCATTTTAGTGTTTTAGGTTTACAATTTGCATTAACAGTTTTTTATTCTTCTGACATAGTAATTTCAATATTTTTGGCTTTATTTAATAAGTCTGTAATATCTATGTTGTTCTGTTTCTTAGTCTGATAACTAAAATATTCTGAGAGCTGAGTTAAATCATAGCCAATCAATATATTTTCCATATCTCTCAAAAATGCTAATCCTATTTTTAGAATTGAATAGATATCAGTAGCTAAAATGAAATCCCAAAAGAATATCACTATTTCAATAGGAAATGAATACAAAAATTGGGTTAGTATCCATTACCAAAAATATTAAAATGCAAATATCCCATTCTTTTAGAAGTGATTAAACAGCTGTGGTAGTTGTCTCTAAAGATTTTCCTAAAATATTTAACATAGATTCTAAGCGAATGTAAACTCTCCTCGATAGATTTCCCACCAATTGAACCTTTCGTTTTAATTAATAAAATTGATAAACCAGAATACATCTTCCTCATTACCTCCACTCATTATTAAGCAAAATCCAACTACGAAATTCATCCCTTAAGCATAACCTATTTCTGGATATTATATAGATAAAGCATGCAATACAGAATATAGTTATTCCTATCCTTTATTAGGATCCTTAAAATATGAATGACGAGTGAAGGTTCTATTTTAATCTTTTTTGATATCATCTTATATTTTTTCAGGTAAAGGCTAAGCTTTTAAAAGAAGCATATAGATTTGAGTCATATTGAGAATTTTAATAAACTTAAGCCATCCAACAATTCCATCTAAATTTTGGAATAGTTCCATCCATAAGATAACCGTTGAATTAAACAGCATTTAACTCTTTCAATATATATGCATCAAATAATTCTAAATTAAAATGCTTAAATGGTTCCTGTAATGCCTTTGCAATATCCTGGATTTATGATGAGACTTGTTATTCTTGGGGTTTTTGATTACTTGTAACTTATAAAATTACATTTGGCGATCTTAAGAGTGTTATATATTGTTCATCATTAATGAAATCTTAACGGTTTTGAAAGTACTCTTCCCACTTTTACTTTTTTATTAGAAAATTGGGTTGATCTTATTAAATCTAGTATTAAAATTCAATTCCAATATGATGTGATTCTTCATTACTATCATCCATAGGAGTTACTGCTGCGAATTTCACTCTTTTTTATGGATTGGATATACTATTCAGATTTTGTTTAGAACAAATAACTCCCATGATTTTGTGTATAAATATTTATATATATATAATAATATCAGTTTTTATAGATTCTTATAATATCCTAAATTTTAGTTCTGCAAATGGGGCAATCCTTTAGGTTTTTACTGCATTTCAAACAAGCAGTGTTATGTTTGCAAGGCATATACAATGCATCTCGGTCATTTTCAATGCAAATGATACAACTATTTTCATGACTTCTATCAGCAACCAACTATGTAGTTCTTTTACATAAGTAGGTTGATGTAGTTCCAATTTTAAAAACTGTTTAGTTTTATAATGGATATAACTAGGAGGCTTGACCTTCTCTTGATAATCTTAACCAAGATCTAAACATTGATATAAGAGATACCCATTTGTTGATCCCATATCTTCCAAATACACTCTTCCATCAATCAAACAGATCTTGGCATGGATATTAGAGAGATGATGATCTTCACTAAAAGTAAGGTCAGCAGTTTGTTTTCGACCAACAGTTGTCACACTCTTTTGAGGAGTCAAATTAATCACATGTTTTTCAGGAGTATTTGGTCCTTCGATGATTGCCATAACAACCTAATTTGAAATGAAATAACTACATCAATATTGGCGCCATTCACATTCACTTGTTGAATTTCAAATTGATTGCTGCCTAATTCAACAACCATTCCAATTTGCAATTGTTATTTTGTTTCGACTTTAATAAATGTTCCTGTGGTCGATCCAATGTCTTTGATATAAAACTAAGTTAGATATACATAAATACTTCTTCATTTTGAAATATCACTTCTGCATGAAATCTACTAATGCTCTCCTCCAATATTAAAATTTAATTGCTTGAGTGTCTCCCAATTTTACCTCCTGACTCCTTTATACAATAGAAATTGGTTTATGGTCCTTCTGTTGGTTGGATGATCAATTCGTTTTATACTTTTGAAACAAACTTTTCTAGGTCCTGTTCAATTAAAATGCCTGTCTATTGTTTTTTTTAAAACTGAGGCTTGTTTTCACTAGAATTTATGTATCATCATTACATCTCGCATAATGGTTACTAAAATTGTTGCGAATACATTTCATTGTTTTTAAGATAATTTGTCATCATATCATGAGAGACGTTAATCTACCCATATTGAGGTTATGCAGATTCAGTATTTTCAAGGGTTGTATTTTCCTATTCCATCTTTTCATAGCGTCTGTCCTCAAATGTTGTTGATTTTATATGTGATGCGTATTCTTTCAGTCCTGTTTTAAGCCCTTTCATTATTTAATAGTATTTACAATGCATAAGCTTTTTTCTAACTATCTTATTTGTAATTCCTAGATCTTCTATTAAGTCATTCTCCTCAATTAACTCCAAACATGATCCATCGATTGAATTCTTAGCTACAATATAGGTTCGCTAATTTACTGAAGGTTGTCTGAAGTTACTATAACCCAACAAAATTGAGCCATTGCGATACATCCTCCAAAGACCATTTCTTAGGTTCTTTGGGAAGAATTGTGAAGAGGGTTTCATAATCCATATTTTAAATTTAAAAGCACTAACTGAAAATAATTATTCTCACATATAATTATTTCATTTTACTATATAACAAGTAGACTGAATTGTGCAATACCATTGGATTACAATTACCATCAATAACTACCTTTATATATTCTAGTTCTTTATTAATCATCTTCAACTTCATTGAAAACCTCTTTTAAAAATTAGAGAGACACTAAAATTAGTATTGTTCTTTCATTACTTTTGAATATGACACATTGATTCCTTAATATGCTCTCAAGTTTTGAAGGTTACTATCATCTTTCTATTATCTAAGTGATTTTACAATAAGATTTGTTGATTTCTTTAAGATTATGTATTAAAAATTCCTATTAGAATATCACCTACTCTTAAATACTATCATTTTACCTTCTAAATTTTATCATTTAAATGCCTTAAAGTGTAATACTTCATTTAGGATACTACTAATATTTTTTTTATTTATTATGCATTGATAACTATTCTATTTCCTAAATTAAAAATTTTCCTTTTTATTGAAAATCAATAAATAAGATTAATATGCTTCAAATATAAAATGTATACTAATAAAAGATTTTGTTTCATTATTGATAAGTTAGAGAATCCAAAAAATATTAATATTATTAATTGAATTCATATTAAATTTATAAGCTTTTATTTAAGCTGGTAATTAAATATAAGTATTGATGTTAAGCTAGTTAATAAATCTAAGTATTTATTCTACTTTGTATTCTTGAATAAATCTATAATTATTAATAGTCAAAATCAATATTTAATAAATAATTTGATATCTGGAAAATGTATCCATTTTCTTAAGATAGATAAATCAAAGTAATATATCTTTTTTGCTATCTATTGCATTAATATTTTAGTGGAATGTGGTTGACTCGAACTTGAAATGAAAAATTTATAAATTCATTATTTATTTAATGTGGTTTTTTGTAATCTTTGCATTAGGGTATTGTTAGGATTGTCCGAGTGTTTTTTACCTTGGAAATCTGTATAATTAAGCGAATCTATTTGTATATTCTAGTGGTTACAAATAAATCATAACTTCTGTTTAGAATGCAATTGTTTATCTTTAAGCGGAATCAGGAACATTACGATCGATTAAGTTAAGTAAGTAAATATTAGTAAACAGCTGACGGATAGAGTGTTACATATTTGGAGACGGAGAGCTCAAATATTTTTGTGGGCTAGAATAACGAATTGCTTGTATATAGTTTAGATGAAGATAATCCAGTGAAGGCTTCTTTAAATTTTGTGGGGAGCGTGCAATCAACATATACAATGAATTCTTTGATAGGTGTTGGAACTAATCAGAACGAAGTTATACTCTGGGATTACCAAAGCAACTCTGTTTTGGGTAAAGCAAAATGTATGATATTCTATATATTAGAACTTTAGCTTTGGTTTTGTAGAATATATTAATAAATTATCAGATTCTTGTTAACCAAGCATATGATACTATGATTGCAGGCACTACTGCGGGTGGTTAGACTTACTTAGAATACTATACATAAAATATGTAATTTCTGCTAAAAAGCTTCGCCATTGATTAATTTACTCTTTATTAAATTTCAACAAAGACTGTCAGCGATACTGAATTCACCATCAACTTATATACAGTATTTGCTTAAACTTTGACTATCAACTTGGTGGATAAAAAGTCTTCAACAATTACATTGACATCGTAGCAAATCAATTTATAGTTAACTCCTATATAGATGTACTTGGTCGAAGATTATATTATCTTTTTTTCAAGCACTTGCTAATATCAGAAATATGACATCAAATAAAATAGTGTTGGAAATCTGAATTCATGGACTTCCACTTGTCCTAATAACATTAAGCAACTATAATTTAGTATCGAAGATCAACTCATAATATTACTCTTAAATAACCCTTAAGACAGAAATGAGATGATCTAAATTTATCAATTAGATACTAATTTAATTGGCACTTAAATTAGATCATTTTATTATCTGTCTGACAGTATTAGTTAATCATTTATCCTGCAATCTAAATACATTATTGAAGTTGGCTAAACTAGTAGTGATATTTACATCTATAATCAATGGTACTAGTTACAATAAATTATAACTGTTAATAATAACAATAACTATGCCATCCAGATCATACAATAGGATTTGATCCTAATACTATATTAAAATGGGTTGGTAGTTGCTCTATCGTAAACATCTTAGACATGCTAATTTACTTAATATCAATGTTACAGCTATAGCATCTAATCACAATTCTAATTTTCAACTGTTGCTTCATACACTACTTAATTAGTCTCTTAATTTCAATACAATAACATTATTTATGTCATTTACGCGTTAAACAATAATATTTACTGTTATAGTTTCTTGAATAGTGCATTTAGTTTAACCCCTACAAATTAACAGACCTTGACAAGCAATGTGCTCTAAATCATTACATCAACTAATTCTATTTACCTATTATTAAGTGATAACACTCTCTATTCATGCTAATTTAGTGTTGCAACAACTAATACTAATCTTCAGATTTATTATTAATATACGATTTCAAATGTTAACTTTGTAACCTAAAATTCTTAAGTTCAGATTGCTACTAATGGATAGTAGATAGTCATTATATAAATCAGTAATTAATAAGTAAAGTAAATTTCAAGTAAATTATTATATTTATTAATAAGATATTGGAGTGTCATTTAAGCAAATTTAGATTTATTCAGATCTTCTGATACTTTTAGAATAGAATTCTTACAGGCTTTCATTATTTTCAATCTCTAATTTATTGAATGATTATAACACTGCTTCATTCATCTTAGATACCTAGTATTTCAGTGAATTATTTGTTTTGAATCAAAACTTCCTTCTAATTTAGCTTTAGTATTCGGTGATGTCTATTCAAATTACAGATTATTTTTAGTCTGGCAATTCCTAATGCGATTTTACTCAAGTCTACAGCAGTAATAGTCAGAATTATATTAATACACAGATTTCCTTGACAAATTTTTATATTTTGTACTAAACAATACAATAATTAGAGGATCTGAATGGATTTGTATAAATAAATAAATAGAATGTAATATGGAATAGAATCATTATTGATTAATCAATAAATAATTTAGTAAGTTTACAAATAAAAGGGTCCTCCCCGACCTAATCTAGTTTAATTATTGCATAAGAAATTAAAAATTTTTAATAGATATTCTTACAAGACCTGACATTAATCTTACCATAATAGATACTCATATTATCTAAAATGATAGCAGCTACTGTGCAGAATTGTTAACTTGTATTTAATAATAATTTCTACTATAATTTTCAATTGAAACAAATTACTAATTTTCAATTATTTACAATATCAATGAGCAATTAAGATATGGCCAAACCATTCATTCAAGCCTCCTCCGTAGATACCATTTAACTTAAAGATATTTAAATCACACAATCTAAATTATAATAGCTTGTCTAAATTGATACAGCAACCTTTTTATATATTAAGAATTTATAAGTTTAAGACTGTGAATGCATCCAATAACCATAATACAAATAGCTATTTCAATATTTTTCTTTGACTATATAAACAGCCTAATTCATAGGAAATCAATTGTGTAGTTCGTTATTTAATAATATTATCATTGATAACAATGGCTTTTCACACTTGCAAGTTAATGATCTAACTATTAAAAACAATAATATCTAATAATATGTAGGTGCAGCAATCATTAATTATGTATAAAGCAGCGTTTTTTAATAGAGTAATGTGTATTTGTCATTCGTAACACTTTAAAATAATTAGTATTAGTAATAAGATTAGATCTACGCATTTCAATTTTAGAATGGAGGCGCTTTTTAAGGATAGAATATGCTATTTGACAATAGTTCTATCCTAATATCTTCTTTTAAACTTCTCTAAATTAGTAATTTCACCTTTTCAAATCCCTCCTAACTGAGTATTAATATAGCTGAAATACCTTAGATTACAATCAGCCTTATAATCTTCAATACTGGATCGGTTTATCAAGATGGGTTTATTCAAATAATAAATGAAAAGGATTACGTATGCTCTAATTCCTAATGTTAAATATAAATATCAAAAGTTGTTATGAATTAGATAACCTTAATTTCGTAGTCATTAGCAAACACCTGTTATGGATTAAATATATAGTTAAGATCGCAATTTTATGTCTAATTGTCTGAATTCAATTTCACTAATTTGAATTTGCAGGCTGCTGATTCCAATTTTATTGTTTCATCAACAGCGCTTTTCTTTCAAGGATTTTAATCTTAATTACTAATTTAATCTTCAAATTTTCAACAAATTCAATATAGTTTGAGTACTAGTGTTCTTATTTTAAATGCATAATCGATTATTTTGAATTCGATTACTGTAAATTAAATAAACTTTTTGGGTTCAGTTTATTATGGAACTTAAAGTGAAAAAGGTGGTTTCGCATAAATATCATGTGCTTCTTTTTCTGTTGAAATCAGTAAATTCTCATATATCAGCTCTTACAGTGGATCAATATTTATTATATAAATGTATCATGCTGACGGTATTGATCCATCACTATAATTTGTTGGTAACACTATAAGTTACATTTATTCATTTGGATACGGAGCCATTTACATAGAAAATGCAGTGGATTAAACTACAATAACATTTAAATAAAACTCCTTTTTAGAAATATGCTCACTGAAAGATGGAGGTCTCTTGTTTGTTTAAAAAGAGTAGTAAATAAGTTATCCACAATTGAATATTACACAACTTAGTCTAATCAACATAGATGATGTGTTGCCTTATCAATTCAATAGAACAATTTACTTTTCTTCAAATACATTTTCTAACTTATACTCCAGTAATGGATCAATCATAATAGCTTCATTATACAACATTACATTTAAGGACAATTACTTTAACAGTAATAATATCACAGCCACTCCTTAAAAATTTAATTCAATCTAAATCACTTAAGGATCATTGTTTTATTTGGAGTATTGTGTGTTGATATTATAGAATTTTACAATTACTTAATTTAAAACTTTTGCAAATTAAAAAAATGAAGGAGAATTGATTTATTCGTTTAAGAGTTGGATCTAATTGAATTACTGCACTTTTTCAGATATAATTGTTAAAAATTCTAACTTATTCTACATAAATCTGTCATATCTAAAGAGTGATACCTTGATATTACAAAATATTGTATAGAATTAGAGTTCAACT